TTCCAATCCATGAGCACGGTATATGCTTCCATTTATTTGTGTCTTCCTTAATTTCTTTTTTCAATGTTGTATAGTTTTCTGCATACAGGTCTTTTACGTCTTTGGTTAAATTTATGCCTAGGTACTTTATTTTTCTTCTTGCTATATCGACTGGTATTTTTTCTCTGATTTCTTCTTCTTCTATTGCATTGCTGGTGTACAAAAATGCCTTTGATTTCTGAATGTTGACTTTGTATCCTGCTGTTTTGCCAAATTCACTTATTAGGTTGAGGAGTTTTGTGGTAGAGTCTACAGGGTTCTCTGTGTACACTATCATGTCATCTGCAATCAATGATAGCTTTACTTCCTCTTTTCCTATTTGGATGCCTTTTATCTCTTTCTCTTGTCTGACCGCTGTGGCTAGGACCTCCAATACGATGTTGAAAAGAAGCGGTGAGAGCGGACATCCTTGTCATGTTCCCGATCTTAGTGGGAAAGCTTTCAGTTTTTGCCCATTGAGTATGATATTGGCTGTAGGTTTTTCATATATGGCCTTTATTACGTTGAGAAATGCCCCATTTATTCCCATTTTGCTGAGTGTTTTGATCATAAATGGGTGCTGTACCTTATCGAATGCTTTTTCTGCATCTATCGAGATAATCATGTGGTTTTTGTCTTTTATTTATGTGATGTATCACATTTACTGATTTGCATATATTGAACCATCCCTGCATGCCTGGGATGAATCCCACTTGATCGTGGTGGATAATCTTTTTAATAAATTGCTGGATGCAGTTTGCCAATATTTTGTTGAGGATTTTAGCATCTTTGTTCATCAGCGAAATTGGCCTGTAGTTTTCTCTTTGTAGGGTCTTTATCTGGTTTTGGGATCAGGGTGATGCTGGCCTCATACAAAGAGTCTGGGAGTCTTCCCTCCTCTTGAATTTTTTGGAATAGTCTGAGCAGGACAGGGGTTAGCTCTTCCTTAAATGTTTTGTAAAATTCTCCTGTGAAACCGTCCTGCCCTGTGCTTTTGTGTGCTGGGAGTTTCTTGATTACAGCTTCAATTTCCCCAGCTGTTATTGGTCTGTTCAAGCTTTCTGTTTCTTCCTCCTTCAGTGTTGGAAGATTATACTTTTCTAAAAATGTGTCCATTTCATCAAGATTTTCAAATTTCTTGGCATATAATTGTTCATAATAGTTTCTGATGATCGTTTGTATTTCTGTGGTATCAGTTGTTATTTCCCCTCTTTCATTTCTGATATTATTAATTTGGGTCCTCTCCCTTTTATTCCTGATGAGTCTGCTTAAAGGCTTGTCCATTTTATTTATCTTTTCAAAGAACCAGCTTCTGGATTGGTTGATTCTCTGAATTGTTCTTTTTGTCTCTATGTCATTCAGTTCTGCTCTAATCTTGACTATTTCCTTCCTTCAACTTGCTCTGGGATTAATTTGTTGTTGTTTCTCCAGTTCTTGAAGTTGTAGTGTTAGGTCTTTTATTTGAAATGTTTCTATCTTTTTAAGGTAACCCTGTATTGCTATGAACTTGCCTCTCAGGACCGACTTTGCTGTGTCCCATAGGTTTTGGACAGTTGTCTGTTCATTTTCATTTGTTTCCAGAAATTTTTTGATATCTTCTCTTATCTCATTATTGACCCATTCATTGTTTAATAGTATACTGTTCAGTCTCCATGAGTTTGCAAGTTTTTGAAGTTTCTCTTTGAGGTTGATTTCCAGTTTCAAGGCCTTGTGGTCCGAGAAAAAGTTTGGTATTATTTCAATTTTCCTGAATATGCTGAGGCTTGCTTTGTGTCCTATCATGTGGTCTGTCTTTGAAAAACTGCCATGAGCATTTGAAAAGAATGTGTATTTTTCTTCTTTGGGATGTAAGGTTCTATATATGTCCGTTAAGTCTCTTTGATTCAGTATGTCATTCAGCACCACAATATGTTTATTAATATTTTGTTTGGAAGATCTGTCCATTTTTGACAGTGGGGTGTTGAAATCCCCTACTATCAGTGTGTTGCTGTTTATATCTTTTTTTGAAGTCATCCAACAATTTCCTTATAAACTTGGGGCCTCCTATATTGGGAACATATAAGTTTACAATGTTGATGTCTTCTTGATAGATTCTTCCTTTAAGTATAATAAAGTGCCCCTCTGGGTCTCTTTTTATGGCCTTTGTTTTGAAATCTACTTTGTCTGATAAAAGTGTGGCAATCCTGGCCTTTTTCTCTTGCCCATTTGCTTGGAATATCTTTTTCCATCCTTTTACTTTCAATCTGTGTAGGTCTCTTGCTCTGAGGTGGGTCTCTTGTAGGCAGCATATGTGTGGGTCATGTTTTCTTATCCATTCAGCTACCCTGTGTCTTTTGATTGGGGCATTTAGTCCATTCACATTGAGAGATATGACTGATAGAAACGTACTCATCTTTTCTCTTTGTACCTGTGTTCTTCTCTCTCTCATTCTTTTCCTTCATCTGCTTAAACGAGTCCCCTTAGCATATCTTGGAGTGCTGGTTTGGTAGAGATGTATTCTTTTAGTCTTCTCTTGTCTGGGAAACTCCGTATTTCCCCTTGTATTTTAATGGAGAGCCTCGCTGGGTAGGGCAGCCTTGGCTGTAGGCCCTTGCTTTTCATGGCTTGGAATATGTGTTGCCATTCCCTTCTGGCTTGTAGAGTTTCTGTTGAGAACTCAGCTCCTAGGCATATCGGGGCCCCCTTGTATGTTACTTTCTCCTTCTCCCTTGCTGCCTTGAGGATTCTCTCTTTGTCTTTGATAGTCGCCATTTTAATGATGATGTGTCTTGGAGTGGACCTCTTTGAGTCCCTCTTGAGTGGGGTCCTCTGTGCCTCCTGGATCCACGAGAGCCTTTCTCTCCTCCAATTAGAGAAATTTTCCATCATTACTTTTTCGAGGAGGTTCTCTATCCCTTGCTCCTCTTCTCCTTCTGGTATCCCTATTACACGGATATTATTGCGTTTCAGGTTGTCCTGCATTTCCCTAAATGCCTCTTCCTTCTTTTTGAGCCGTTTTTCCATTTCTTGTTCTTTCTGGGAGCTTCTTTCTATCTTGTCCTCCATCTCACTGATTCGATCCTCGGCTTCATCCAGCCTGCTTTGGATTCCTTCTACTGTGTTCTTCAATTCAGAAATGGTATTCTTCATATCCTCTTGTGTCTTCTTGAGAGTTTCTATGTCCTTTTCCAGGTTGATATAGTTTGCTGTAAGATCCTGATAGTTTCTCTGCAGTTTTTCATAGTTCTCTTTGAGCTGGCTGAGCTCATTGAGCTTCCTTAGAATCATTGTTTTGAATTCAGTATCTGATAGTTCCCTTGCCTCTATTTCATTTAGCTCTCTCTGTGGGGAGTCCCCTTTTCCACTCATTTGAGGGGAACTTCTTTTTCTTCCCATTTTTGTGAGAGTCTGTTAAGTATTTTTGTCCTTTACTTTTCTTTCTGGGCCTGCCTCTGATGATGTCAGTTTTTGACCCTATAGGACCTTGGGTTGTTCGTTTGAGCATTCCAGGAGTCTAATGCCTGTGTCTGACTCCTGCTTGGGGCAGCTCTGTGACCCCTTCTGTCAGGGCTGGTCTATTTTTTGGGATCTCTCTGCGCTCTCACGCAGGCTCCTTGAGCGGGATCTCAGCACGGCAGGATCCCCCGCCTGCCTGGGCTCGCATGTGCTTGCCCCAGACCAGGGGGTTTATTCACGACCTCGCGTACTCATCTGGCCCCCCTGGCCGGTGAGCTCCGCGGCACTGGAGTTTAGGGTCTTCTATTGTGTGTTTTCCCCGCTTTTGGCTCTTTGGGTGCGTTGCTTGCCCTCGCCAAATGGGGACTACAGAAATGGGAGGAAGTCAGCTCCAGGACTCTGCAGTTAATCCTGTCTCTGGTCTCTCCTCCAGGGACTCTGGGGAGCTCTCCTAATTTTGTGGGCTGCTCCGCAATCGCTGGCGGGTGGGTCAATTTACGCCTTCCTTTGCCACTCTGTGCACTCCCTCGCAGGCCATATCAGTGCCAATCTGTGGGAGGCCTTGCCCGCCGGTGCAAGCATTCGCCTGCCCGCACGGGTCACACACACACTCGCCAACCCTCGCTGGTCACTTGGCGCAAGTGTGCGCCTGCACTGCGTGTTTTGGCATTAGCAATTTTAAATGAGTAAATAATTTATTTTTTTCCTGATTTACTCAATGCAGTAAATATTGATAGCTATAGTGCACAAAACTAAAGCTCTTTTGGGGGCCTCAATAAGTTTTTAGAGTGTAAAAGGAGTCCTGAAGACAAAAGTTTGAGAACCATTGGTCTGCAGACTAGCTGATTTTTTAATGCCTAAGAAATATGGAGACTATGAGGAGTGTAATTATGTATAGTCTGTCATAAACAAAGACTTATTTCATAAACTGTTACTAGAGCCTCCTCTATGCCCTACCATTTTGCTGGGTTCTGGGAACACCGTGGTCAACAGAATAGGGTTTGTGCCTACTAATAGAACCAAATCATGTTAACTGTGATTATTTTTTAAAGTTCAGTAATAGCCCTGATCAGTGTGGCTCAGTTGATTGGGCTTTCTCCCATACAGCACGAGGTTGTGTGTTCAATTCCCAGTCAGGGCACATATCGAGATTGTGGGTTCTGTCCCTGGTCGGGGGGCATATGAGAGGCAACTGATGGATGATTCTCTCTCACATTGATGTTTCTCTCCCTCTTTATCTCTCCTTTCCCCTCTCTCCAAAAATAAATTAATTAAATCTTTTTAAAGAGTGTTTTCAAATTTGTGATGGAATTACAGTGGAAAGGGCAGTGTTTCAGTGTAGTGTTATTAGAATCAAGCATCATCTCACAACTCATTCTGATTAAGAAGATTGCCATTTTCATTTCTGCCATAGACAAACAATCCACCTTTGACTCCCTGTTTCCCAAACCACCCACTGAAGATAAGAATTGTTTCTATATATTTGTCATGCATGGCTTAAGGCTAGAAACGGAAACTAATTTATATGCTTTTGACTCACTTTTTAGTGACTGTCCTCGCGATATTTAATGAGTTACATGCAGATGTGGACCTTTATGCACTTCTGTTTGGAGAAAGTGTCCTAAATGATGCTGTTGCCATTGTGCTGTCCTCGTAAGTAATAATATTTCTGCCTGGGGAAGAGAGACTCTTGCTTCCTAAATTCTCTGGGCTAAATTCAGAGGTGTATCTTACAAGTATTAAATATTGAATTGGATGTTTTTCTAAATGAGGTTTCTCAATTTTATTGATAATGTTATATTGCCTTGTCCAGTCAGCAGCAATCAGAATGCTGTACCAGCATAACATGGTGACTGCAGATTAAGTTAAATGACAGCATCATGGGAAGTGCCTGGTGGACTGTAGATACCTATGTTTGTTGATAGTTTTTGGTACCATGGTGTAAAACCAGCACAGTCTTTTAAACTTTCTCTTTTTTTAAAATTCCAGGTCGATTGTTGCCTACCAGCCAGCAGGGATGAACACTCATGCATTTGATGCTGCTGCGTTTTTTAAATCAGTTGGCATTTTTCTAGGTATATTTAGTGGCTCTTTTACCATGGGAGCTGTGACTGGTGTTGTGACTGCTCTAATATCCTTTTTGTAGTTTCTGGCCCTGTGTGGGTATGATTATATGACATTACACTTGCCAAAAGAAAGTTGCCTTTTCTTCCTTTCAGTAGTGAATCTTAAATTTATTGGTCCACTGGGGTTTTGGGACTTCTGACATGTCCCTGTGGTAAAAACATGGCAGTTGAGTGCCTAGCTAAGTGTCTGAGAAATGTTTGGGGTGTAACTTTAGGCTTAGCTCTCTCCTCATCTTTGCATTTTTCTCTCCCTCCTATGAACTGGTTGGAGATGGGAGCTAAGGAGAATTAGTTTTAGAGGGATGAAAGGAGCCAAAGAACCAAGAGGAGGCTGGGAATAAGGGATCACCTCACAGGAGGCCAGGAGGAAGAGGGCTGGGAAGTGCTTTAGCCCCAGGCTTGTTGATACTGTCAGCTCTTCCAGGCCATAGAGGGCTAACGTGGCCATAACTAGCTGGGGGCCACCAGTGGGAATTACTGTGAGGTGGTCTTCCTTAAGTGGGCTGCACAATATTTAGTTTAAAACCAACCAACCAGCCAATGAACAAACAGACAAACATAGAAGTGTGCAATGAGCAGGCAGCCCCTCTACAGGTTTGCTGAGTCCTTCATCATATCTTCTTTCAGTGGCATTTAGATCACTGCTGTCCAATCAATACAAATATAATGGGAGCCACAAATGTGAGCCACATTTCAGTCTGTAATCAATACACAAATTAACAAAACACAAAAATTATTAATAAGATTGTTATACACTCAATTTTTATATGCAATCTTTGGAATATGGTGTGTATTTCATTCTTACAGCACATCTAAATTCAGACTAGGCACATTTTAAGTGTTCAGTAGCTACATGTCGCTAGTGGCTACCATACTAGACAGCACAGGTTTTTATTATTTTCTTAACAAAGTCCCTTTTGATGTGCCACAGATTTATATTCAACAAAACCATCCATGAAATGGTTCCATGCTGGCCTTCCATGGAATATCAATGTTAGGAGAACAATCTCTGATTCCAAAAAGTGATACCCGCACCCTGTAGTTGCCCCTGGAGTTGCACATTTCTTTCTTTCTCATGCCATCATTTAGGCACCTGCAATGGACTTAGGCTTCAGTGGCCTACAGAGGTCAAGGTCTCACAGCCTCATCTTCCCAGGCCAGCTCTAGGCACTTCCAGCACTGCCAGAACTAACCTGACAGTCATACCCCATGCCAAGACTGTGCCTTTCAGAACCATGGGTATTGCAAGGAGCACAGAAAACCCAGTTCCAGTCTCTTCATAAAGCCTAATTTTAAAAAAAACAGCTTTATTGACATAAAATTCACACTGTACAATTCAACCTTTTAAAGTGTACAATTTGATGGTTTTTGATATTTGACATTATTCATTTTTTTAAAATTGCAGTGAAATGTATATAACATAAAATTTGCCCTTATAACCATTTTAAGTGTACATTTAAGTGGAATTAAGTACAACCACAATGTTGTGTAACTGTCCCTACTATCTGTTTCCAGCACTTTTTCATCATTCCAAACAGAACTCTGCACTTATTAAACAATATCTCCCCTTTCCCAGCCCTTGATAATCTCTATTATTCTGGAAAGCTTAGTTTTTATTACTTTAAAAAGCAAACAGCACCTTTGGGACCCCCAAAGAAAAGTAGAGAAGTAGAGGGGAAAGGATGGCCCTTAGGGAGGGGATCCTGGGCTAATAGAATGTGGTTCTTGGTGACTCTGGTAGTTGTTCTTGGAGATGAATTCCTTGACAGGGGCTGACGTGACCAAGTTTACCAAGCTGCACTGCTTCCCACTGCTGGAAACAGCACTCTTCTTCCTGATGTCCTGGAGCACATTCCTCTTGGCAGAAGCCTGTGGGTTTACAGGTGGGTTTTCTCTACCCTTAGGCCACCATTCCCATCACTGTATCAGGGGCTGTGGGAGTTTGAGGGGAAGGAAGAATTCTTATATAGCAGCTGCATTGAGTTGATTAACAGCTCACCGAAGTTCCCATGTCCATGTGGTGGATTGCTGAGCAAGGCTGATGTTCTGCCTTATGAATAATTGTTTCCCAAAGCTACATAAATTTAAAGGATAAAGTTTGTTATTTCAAACTTATGTCTTTGAGTGTTCATTCTGACTATATGTGTAGCTGTAAGGGTTACTGAACATATTAACATCTTATTTGTATCCTTCTTTAGATTGCTATATTAGTTTACAAACAGCAACAATAATAAGCAAAATATGTATCCTTTTAAAGGTAATGTTATATCTACTCAGATGAATGGGAGCACAGGTATTGTTTCTTCTCCGTTCTGTTTAATCATTGTTTTTCAATACCATGTTTTTATGGTGCCAGTTTCATGTATTATTAGTGTGAGTGATATGTGATTTTAGTTCCACACATTCCCTCATTACAGAAACAAACAAAAAACCAAATCACTGATTTTTTTTCCATTATAAAAATTAATTACCATACATAATCCAGGTAGTGAGGAAGTTCTTTTATCATCTTTTCAAAATATTGCAACCTGTCTTTAAATGAAGCATTATAAAATGTCCCACGTCCTTAAAACTTGACCATTATCTGTAAATATATAGGCACATTCCCAGGTGCGTCAATTGTCTTACACAACAAATTGGTTACCATTAACCAGATGTCTAGATCATCAGGGCTTGGATAAATGGAATAGTACTCTGGCTCCATTTTGTCTGAATCCATAGACCATGCAAAAATATAAACCATTGGTTTGAAATTAAACTCATTTGTTCTAAGAACAGAGAGGAATATGATAAAAGTGTATGTCAGGCCCTCACAGTCTCTATGAATGCTAAATGCAAAATACAGACGGTAATACAGTAGGAGTTTAGAGGACGAGGGAGGATATCCTTAAAACTGGAGTAAGGGAGGAGATCCTGGACCTTGGGTTTGAAGGAAAGCAGGGTTGGGGCAAAGAAAGGTTAATATGACAGGTGGGGACAGGGGAGCTTTCAGTAATAGGAAACTCAAAAATATTCTAGAATGTGGATATGCTGGGCTTGCCTATCTTAACTTTCTGTTTCACAGGGATTTTTCCTGCTGCTTTTTTATTCCACTGATTTTTAAAAAAACAAAACTCTCATGCCAGGTGTTGTAGCTGTCCTTTTCTGTGGAATCACGCAAGCTCATTATACCTACAACAATCTGTCAGTAGAATCAAGAAGTCGAACGAAGCAGGTGAGCAAGAGCCCTGGGTCCTCATGAGTTACCTGTGACTGACGCTGGGTTTCATGCTTCCTTTTTTTCCTTTCCTTGCAGCTCTTTGAGGTGTTACACTTCCTGGCAGAAAACTTCATCTTCTCCTACATGGGCCTGGCACTGTTTACCTTCCAGAAGCATGTTTTCAGTCCCATTTTCATCATTGGAGCTTTTGTATCCTTTTTGGGTTCCACTATTTTCTACATGGAGAGGTGATGATTGCTGAGGAAGCTATAGTAATAATAATTTCTGTTTTGAGTGCATGACTAAGCCAGCATTTATTCATAATGTTTTTATGAGGAGAAAAAGAAGGCTTAAGTGGTTCAAGTTAAATGTATTCGATTTAAAAGACTGCCATTGATTCTGAGGTTGTCCTTTCTGCATTTTCTGTGTAAGATGGCCTTTCTGTTATGCTAGTGCTAGCAGGTGGCAGTTTGTTTTGTGAAGAGCCCTTCTTAGCAGATCTAAGAGTAGGCAACCATGTCAGTTCCCAGAACTTTTGTTATTTCATTGTTGCATGAATGCCAATCCAGGAGGGTCCTCATTTGGAATACTCGAAGGCTCTGTTACTCCTACTCTTGACTGCACACTGGTACGGGCAGCCCTCCCTGACTTCCCAGGGAAGCTTGCAGGCAATAAGTGCACTTTCACTCAAACTTAACATATCATGGTGGAAACAACTCTTTCCCCCACCAAAAAAAAAAAAAAAAAAAAAAGAAGAAGAAGAAGAAGGAAATGTAGAAAATATCAAATGGAAAAACATTTGGTTCTATAATTTAGTCCCACTGGGAGCGCAATTTTTGGAAAAGAGACAGTTTTAAGGGTTGGCTTCTTTCAAGTGAGGAGGGATGTAAATACCTAGCAGTGGAGCAACAGCTGAGTGTTTTGCTCAGTTGGCCTCAGATTGTATTGTTTTCATTCAAGTGAACTTTGCTGAGGCTTGGAACTGTAGCACTCCAGTTCAGCCTGGATTTCAAAATTCTGAGCAGGAGTTCTATATTGCTGGGCATTCACTATTGCCTTTTCCAAGGACTCATGGGTATCTTTAGGTCTTGGGATGCTGAAAAAAAAGGAGTGTTTTTCTCTTCTGGTTTTTTTTCATTTCCTGTGCAGGAATAAGTGATACTCACCGAGCCGCTAGCTAGTGACAATGGTCTAATGCCATGTCAGAATCCTTCCACTTAGAGTGTTATCTGTTTCAACTGGCTCTTATTTCTTGGATTGACAAAATAACAGCTGAAAGATCAGTGTTTTTATTCTTGATTAGGAAAGACCTTGCATGTCATTTTGATTTGTATTCCTAGCATGGCATCCTGTGAGAGATAGTGAGAACACAGCTCTTGTTTACAAATGAGGACCCTGGAGAAGGGCCAGCCAGATCCTCTGAGAATCCTGAAGGCTGCTTACCACGGAGGACCTCTGCATGGCTCCTGGGGTAGAATGGGCTTTATTTGCACTACCTGTTTCCTTTTGTTAAAAAAAAACAAAAAAGGAAGATAAAAGAAGAAAATTTTAGTTAGTGCATTCCCCTGGAAAAGGAAGAAGACAGTTTTGCCCTCACTTGTATCTGAAACAGCTGCAGCTCTGGCAGCTGGTGCTTTACCGGAACGGAAGCTCCCTGTTCCTCTGGCTCTCACCAGGCTTTCCTTCTGAGAGCAGGGCATGTGCGGCTTTCTGTTAGGCTCTGTTCTAAATTCAGCAAGTGATGAATGACTGGTTTCCCTGAATTCTTTGGTTTCCACAGTACAGTTACTCTTCCACACTCTTTCGTTTTTCATTTCTTATATCTCTGAAAGACATTTTAGCCACTTAGGTAGAGAAGTCTTCCCAGGCTGATTCTTGTGAGGAACATGAATGTGGCTTAGTATTATGAATACTTTTAGTTTCCCTACCTCTTAATTGTAGACTCTTGCTGCTCATTCAAGCCCCGGGTGTTTACTTCCAACCAAAGCTTATGAGCTTCTTGCCCAGCTTTCTCTTCATAATTTGACTTGGGAGTTAGTAATCTCTTTTCTTCTTGTAGTTTTTCTTCCAAAATACCCCAACGTACTGTTTGCTTCTCTCAGCTCCCCACCCCTGCTATGGTACCTTACCTTGTTTCCAGGCTCATTTTAAGATAGATTGGACGGGTCATACCAGTTTCATTAAATCAGGAAGCTACAATGTTGCACATAATGAGCTAGAAGTTACCTCTGTGGGCCAGCAGCTTAGGAAAATTGGTCAATTGAATACTACGTGTTGCTGAGACTTGTTTAGAGGGAAACTAGACAGCCTGGCTTTTTTGGTGCAACTCTCCTGATTATATGAGATGTCATGACATTCCTAAAATTCTCTGTTCAGCCAGAGGTTGTGACAGTGGCATTCTGGAAACCTTTTGGGCCCTTAACCTCCATCTGGTGCTCAGGTTGCCATCTTCCTGGGCAGAGCTGCACATATCTACCCGCTCTCCTTCTTCCTCAACTTGGGCAGAAGACATAAGATTGGCTGGAATTTTCAACATATGATGATGTTTTCAGGTAAAACAGTATAAATATATAGAAAATGAGTGTTTTTCCGGAGGCAGTGTTAATATATATGATTAAAGTATCAATGAAGTTCATAAAAAGAGAACAATTCAAGTTTCTGGTTCTTTTGTATCCCCTGCAGGGCTGAGTAGACAGATGTACATTGTAAACTGACTTTATGTTGATTTTGCAAATTCTACTACCAAAGGTGAACATTCTCTCCTAAAATATTTGCATCTTTATTTCATCCCTACCACTCAAGGGCCTGGAGGTATATATTGAAAGTGCTTAATTGTCCTCTAGATTATTCATAACACTTTATGTTCAAGAAGGGCTTCAGATCTAAAATTAGAAGTAAAATAGGTCTTTAATGAGAAAGAACATGGGCCGTGCCACTCAACACCCCTCCCCCAGCTGCAGTATCATCTCTTGTAAAATAATGAAATTGAGCTAATTAGTTGAGGTCTCTCCTAGCTCTAACTTTCTACGGAGCAAAAGAAATAAAATACACTCTTAAGAAAGATGACCCCAAACTGGAAAATAACAGTGACAGTTCTGGTGATTTACACTTGATTTACTCTGTCTCCCAGATGCCCCCTCTCCACTATAAAGCTAGGAAATGTGGAGAAGCCACTGAGGGAATAAAGAAAAATAAGGAAATATGTGGAGATAAAAAAAGGAGAGAACAATCGACATGAATAGAAGTGCAGTAAAGGGTGGTAAGCATCAGATTTGATAAATGAGGCCTAACTTAGAGCATCTCTGCAGAGAAGAGGGAGGAAATGGTGGCACAAAAGGCTACTGTGACCGTTAAAGTTACTTCTGTCCTGCGTGGGGGATGGGGAGGGGCTGTACAAGAGGGAAAGTGAGTAGCTACTCTTTACTGCCATGAAGTAATTCTTGGGGGCCCCAGAGAGTCATACTGAAACCACACTAACTGGCACCGTTCAGCAAAGTAGTCACTGTCTAGTACTTATTTGCATCTGCCCCTAAACGTACAACCTGCCATGATTGCCTTTCACTCTAACAAACATTTATTGAGTATTCTCTTTTTATAAGCCATGGTTCTAGGTTGTAGAGGATAGAGAAACCAGCCTCCTTCAAGGAGCTCACAGTCTACTGCAGGGAGACAGGTGTACAAAGTGCTTTCTCTGAAGAGAGGGGGCTGAATTGCACAAAAGAGGTATAGAATAAATGCAGAGGAGAGGAGGGGTCAGGGCCATCTTTGCAAAGGGATAAGTAACATTTGAACTGAGATTGGAAGAAATGGATTTCAGGAGTCAGCAGGTTAGAAAGTCAGGGAAGCATTGCCCCATGTGGCTTTTTCAGGGAAAGGTAAGCAGTCTGGTTGACATGTAAGACTCATGGGGTAATGCTGAAACATGGTGAAGTTGGAACGGAAAGTTACATGTAAAGTGGTGTGAACCTTCAGGTTGCATTGGAATCACCTGTTGGGCTGGTTAAAGAGAGGGTAAAGGGTGGCCTCGAGAATGGGCATTTCTAACATGTTCTCTGCTGCTACTGGTTTGAGGACCACACTTTGAGGACCAATGCTGGAGTTTAGACCACAGGGAAGCTTCAGTCCTGTACCGGTTTGGGTTTTATTTAGACACAGTTGGGAAGCATTAGAGATTTATGAGGACAGTGGTAAGATCCTCCTTATGTATTAGGAAAATGATGACAGAAAAAAGAGATAAATAAGACATAACTCAGTCACCTAGATAAACTTAAAATATGTTCACTATGTTCTGTACTAAAAGACTGAGAAGTACATAATGTAGTTTAAAGATATCTCTTATAAAAAATTATTTTCTGCTGGGAGAACTCATTCTTCAAGGCCATGAACTACCTGAGGTTTCCCTTTCATATTGCTTAAATATTTAACTAATAAAATGAATAAAAATATAGCAAACATTGTCTTTTTCTGACCCCCAAGTTTTCCTCTTTGGGATAACATCTCTTTAGAGGCTTAAATATTGATTGATTGGTCAATAGCCATAACTGGCTTGTAGGGTAATCTAGATATGTATAAATATTTCCCTAGGACAGATTAATAGAAAACATTAACTTTGCTCTGTTTTTTAATGTAACTTTTGTTGAGTCATTCTTCTTTAGTAAATCATAGTGAAATTCTCAGATTAATTGGGAAATTGTTGGGAAGGGTGGGGAAATATACAAACAGATATAGTTAGCATAAGTTTCTTTTCCCATACACACAATCTTGCTCATGATAAATAGAAATTTAAACTAGATATGTATTAAAGACCATGGATTCAGTCTTCACTATAGAACTAATTATGAGCATGGTATGGGGAAGGAACAAAAAAGCTTGGAAAGATAAACATTGAAATGTTGGTGCTTAATCTTAACACCTGTTAATATAGACCATCAGGGTTAGCAAACTATGGTGCCTGAGCCAAATTTGGGTGCTGCCTGTGTTCATATACCCTGAGTGTTCAGAATGGCTTTTACAGATGAATATTTATAATCTATTTGATAATTGGGAACATTAACTTTGAAAGCCAGATAAACATCACCTCCGCCAAAAATTCCTTTCTTTTCAATAGTAGACCTGTATTACAACAAATTTTACTCATTATTATTGTACTCTTGTTTTTTGTTAATCAAATTTTGTGAAAATTTGTTTTATTTCTTTTATATAAGTTGTGAAAATTTGTTTTATGTCTTTTATATAAGTACCTACATGATAGCCTTGATTTTTCCTCATGGTTCACAAAGCATAAACTGTTTGTCATCTTTTACAGAAAAAGTTGCCAACCCCTGATGTAGATCAGGTTATATTGTTACTTCTCTGTGTGGCCTTGCTAAGGAAATGCTGAACTGTTTTGTGGTTTATAATGCATGAACCACAAATATACATTTAACATACTGATATATAGCCTGATTCTTAAATTTATAATGACTATGTAGAACATGGGTTATGCTTGGATCACAGACTTGAAAAGCTAAAATTATTTCTTATTTATATTTATTTTTAATTTCATATTACTAGCAGGAGAATTATTTCAGCAATAAAAGAGCAATATTGTTATTAGTTGAAAAATACACTGTACAAAGTTGTACAGTGTTTTTATCATTGCATTTGTACATTTTGCAAAAGAGAACTTTAAATAGGAGAAAATTACATTCCTTTCAAGTTCTTCTTTCTGAATAAAAGAACTTGACTCCAGAAGCATAAGTGGATATGGTTTATGAGCCCCCAGAGGTAGCAGTGCATTTGAGGACACATTGCCATTTGTCATTATAACCAGGAGATCTTCCTCTTTGGTCCCTGCAGGGCTCAGGGGAGCAATGGCATTTGCACTCGCCATCAGAGACACGGCGTCCTATGCTCGCCAGATGATGTTCACGACTACCCTCCTCATTGTCTTCTTCACTGTCTGGATAGTTGGTGGAGGCACAACGCCCATGTTGTCATGGCTTAATATAAGGTCGGTTTGAAACTGAGGCCAGTTATGTGCCTATACCACTATGCCCATGCAGGGTATGCTATACTTTAGTGCATGGAAGGTTTTTACTGTTTTGTTGTTGTTGTTCTGGGGAGAGATTGAAACAAAAAGAAACAATAAAAATTCAGAGTGTTGAATTTTCTAGACGAAAAATGTTGTCGTTAAAATTTTTATTGCTACAAAATCACAAGGAATTAGAAACACCTGCACCTTGCTAGAGCTGTGACCTCAGGGCAAGAATCCAAAAAGTCTTAAAGCTGCAGGAGAGAGAATACACATAGCTGTCGGCAATGTGTGGTATTTCACAAACAAGTTTTGCTTTCCACAATTACAGTTCTATTTCAGGAGGAAACTGCTGTGCCTCTTCTTGCTTGAGTGCACAAAATAGGTGACATTTCCTGCATAACCCTCATTTGTTGCAGCCTCATGGATGTCCCCAGGCTGGGGTTTTGCAGCTGTGTCAGAATGAAGGTGCACTGCCCTTATTTTCATTTTCTAAATAATATTTAAATTGTGAACTGGGCTTGTGAGCTCCAACACCCTACGGCAAAAAAGACTTTGGAACAGGGGTCAAGAGACCTACAGCCCAACTCTGGCTCTGGTTTAATGCAAGCCCCTCATGCCTTTGGGCCTCAGTTTCTCTCAATGATAAATAAAAGCACATTGTCAGATTTTCTCCAGGTAACCTTCAGCTGTGAGTGAGCACCCTGCATCTTGGAGATGCTCTTGTCACTTGCGTCAGTTTTGGGTCTGCAGAGGGTGAAAGTGATCAGAATGAGAAGACACTTCAATAGTACAAGAGACGTGAAGAATTCTCTGAAAAGCCAAAGGGTGGCAATACTTTTGGTTCCATTCTCTGTTGGCTTTTGGGTTATAGTTCCTTCTCTAGAGTGTAGAGTACGTGGGTACTAACAGCTGCAAAGCATACCTAGTTTAGAGGAGAAAAAATGAACAAGGATCTCACAGTCATCCTTGGAGTCAAGAAGAAAACTGTCATCGGAAAGAATAGCCTCAAAACTTTTATATTGATAGCAGGCAGGGATTCCTGGATTTGACCACTGCCAACTCTACCATTTCTGGGCTGGCATGTCTCAGCCTCAGAGTGGGTGGGTCTGCAGAATCTATGTGGGGCTTATCAGTGATGGTCATGTAACAGCTAACACATATGCTGCAGGTGGTGTTTAAAACGCCATATGTATATTAAGCTAATTCTTATAACGTTCCTATAAGGGAGTTACCACTATTGTCTTTATTTTAGAGTTGGGGAAACTGAAGCACAAAGCAATAACTTGCCCAAGATCACAAACCTTTAAGTGGACAAGTTGGGATATGAATCCAGGCAGTCTTGCCACAGAATCCACACTCTTAATTACTACTGTGCTGTATTGCCTGTAAGAAGGCTTGCTGTGGTAGGGTCTTTTTGGGACTAGAATTTCAATTTCTTGGCATGACTTAAGAGTTATGTTAAGAAAATCAATTAATCTGTGGCAATATAAACCTGAAGAAGAAAATATACAGATTTTTGGCTTGAAACCTGAGACATAAGATGGCACCATCTTTGTTTTGTGTAGCAGAATAAGAATTGCATAGTTGAGAATCTTTGCATTCAGTGACCTCTGAGATTGTTTCCTGCTTCTACTTGGTCACCCATTGGTACTCTGGATGCTTAGAAGCTGATTAAATCATGTTTATGTTTAATGCTATTTTAGAAATCCTTTGTGGCCCCCCTCAACATATGCAGGATCAAATAATTTTCCACTGAGAGTAGATAATTGACTTGTGACATTTTGCACTTCTCATAACCCTTTTCAAGAAGTGGGCCATTAAAATAATGCTGCCGAGAGCTGAGAGCATGGGCAGCTTTCCCTGAGGCACACAAGCTGTATGTCTATGAATATAATATAATAATTGGATTTCTGTGAAAATATTAATGTAATATATAGATAGCACTTAGAACATAGTAGCTAGCACATAGTGAGGGGTCAGAAATGACTATGTGCATGACTGTGTGTATGAGAGATTCAATTTGTCTACATTATTGCCAGCATTTGGTGTTATCACAATTTTTTCAATTCAGCTATTCTAATAGGTATGTGGGATACCTCAATTGTGGTCTTAATTTGCATTTCTCTCATGGCCAATGATGTTGAACGTCTCTTTGTGTGCTTATTTGCCACTGATACATCTCTTATGCTAAAATATCTGTTTTAGTCTTTTATCCATTTTCTTTTCTTTTTCTTTTTTTTGGTTTTTTAAAAATTTTATTTTAATTTATTTTTTCAAATACATTTGTCTCTGCCTCCCCGCCACCACTTTCCCTTGCCCCCTCCCTCTTTCCCTCCCTCAGCTCTTCCCCTTTGGTTTTGTCCATGAGTCCTTGCTATATGTTCCTTGACTTGCCCCTTCCCTTCCTTTTCCCCGCCCTCCCCTTCCCTCTTGTCTCTGTTGATTTCTTTTCCTTTCAGAGTTGCTGGTCTTATTTGCCTTGCATCTTTGTATTGTTGGTTAGGTTCCGCTTATAGGTGAGATCATATGGTATTTGTCTTTCGCCGCCTGGCTTATTTCGCTTAGCATAATGCTCTCCAGTTCCATCCATGCTGTCGCGAAGTTTAGTAGTTCTTTTTTTCTTTCTGCTGCGTAGTATTCCATTTCTCTTCAGATCGTATAAATCTTTTGCCTTTTATCCATTTTCTAATTGGATTTTTATTAATTATTGAGTTTTGAGAGTTTTTTATTTATTCTAGATACCAGTCTTTTGTCAGGTGTGTGGTTTGCAGATATTTTCTCCTAGTCTATAGCTTGTCTTTTCATCATTTTAAAAGTGTCTGGCACAGAGCAGAAGTTAATTTTGATGAAGTGCAATTTATCATTTTTTTTCTTTCATGGGTTGTGCTTTTGATGTCATGTCTCCAAGATTTCTTTCTGTACTATCTTATAAAAGTGCTTTACTTTTAAGCTCTATGATCCATTTTTACTTAATTTTTATATAAGAACTGGGGTATATTTTATTTTATTGTGACTATGTGGCTATGGCTATCCAGTTGTCAGCACAATTTGTTAGAAAGACTGTCCTTACTCCATTGAATTACTATTGCTCCTTTGCCAAAAATCAATTGGCTGTGTGCATGTGGGTCTGTTTCTATTCTGCTCCATTGATTCATGCATCTATCTCTCCGCCAGTACCACCTCATCCTGATAACTATCATTATATATCAGGTAGAGCAAGTCCTTCCATTTTATTCTTTTTAAAAAACTGTTATAGTTCTTCCAGTTCCTTTCTATATACATTTTAGACTATGCTTGTATGTATCTTTTTAAGAATTTTGCTAGGATTTTCATAGGAATTGTGTTAAACCTGTGTATCAATTTGGGAAGAACTGACATCTTTACTTTGTTGAGTCTTCAAATCTATGAACATGGCATTTTTCTCTATTTATTTAGATCTTCTTTGATTTCTTCCATCAGTATTTTATAGTTTTCAATATACAATGCCTGTAATGTTTTGTTATATTTATGCCTAAGTGTTTCTTCTCCTTTTCTGAGTAACTGTAAAGGTTATTCTATTTTTAATTTCAGTTTCCATGTGTTCATTGCTAAGATACAGAAATATAGTTGGCTTTTGTATATTGATCTGATATCCTGTGACATTGCCAAACTCACTTATTAGTTCTAGGAAGGTTTGTCTTCATTTTGGGTTTTTATTGTTATTTTTTGTAGATTATTTGAGATTTTCTATGTAGGCCATCATGTCATTTGCAAATAGAGACAGTTTTATTATTTTTTTTTACCAACCAGTGTGTCTTTTATTTTCTTTTGTTGATTTATTGCTCTGGCTAGGACTTCCAGCACTATGTTGAATAAGAGTGATGTGAGTGGACATCTTTGCCCTGTTCCTGTTCTTAAAGGGAAAGCATTCTGTCTTTCACTTATAAGTAAGACGTTATCTGTAGGGTTTTTGTAGATGTTTGTCATCAAGTTGAGGAAGTTTCTCTCTATTGCTAGCTTTCTGTGATTTTTAAAAATAACAAACAGATGTTGAATTTTATCAAATGATTTTTCTGTATAAATTGATATGATCATATTATTTTTCTCATTTACCCTGTTAATATGGTGGGTTACATTGATTAATTTTCAAATATCAAACCAGCCTCGCTTCTTTAAGATAAACCCCACTTGGTTGTTGTGTCTAAATTTTATACATATTGCTGAACTCTATTAGCTAATATTTTGTTAAGGATTTTTGTGTCTGTATTCATGAAAGATACTGGTCTATAGTTTTCTTTTTTCATACTGCCTGTGTCTGTTTTTGGTATCAGGGTATCTGGCATCACAAAATGAGGTGAGACATGTTCCCTACTCTTCTGTTTTCTGGAAGAGACTGTGTAGAAGTGGTGTTAATTCCTCTTGAAAGTTTTATAGAATTCTCCAGTAAAACCATCTGGTCCTGGAGACTTCCTTTCCAAGGATTTTAGAATTTTGAAGCCAATATTTTCAATATACCTATTAAGATTATCTATTTCACATTGTGTGAGTTATGGTAGTTTCTGAGATTGGTCTGTTTTATCTAAGTTGTCATGTTTATGTTGTTCATAACATTACCTTATTATCTTTTTGATGTCTGTGAGAGTGTGGTGCTATCCCTGGATATCGCTGATATAGGTAATTTGGTAATTAGTAATTTCTGATATTATTAATTTGTAATTTGTACCTTTTCTCTGATTTTCTTTGTCTTCCTAGAGGTTTGTCAATTTTACTGATCTTTTTAAAGAACTAGCTTTTTATTTCATTGATTTTCTGTATTGTTTTTGTTTTCAATTTCATTGATTTCTGCTCCTATCTTTATTATCTCCTACCCAGACAACATAATGAAATGAAGTGTGCTATCGACAAAAAATACAAATGGTGTCAGTTCACTGCATATATATATATATATATATATAAATAAATATAAATAGTAAGTGTAGAAACTGACATTTACAGAGATTACACAAAAGAAATTCCCTCCTAAATAAGGTAATGAAACTGATTGGTTCTTCTGGCTTGTGGCTTGTTGTGTTACTTAAGGATCACAAATCATTTATAGAAACCAGGTTTTTATTCTAAATTGATTTAGAAACTTCCTAAAATTCAGCATGGTGTTTTGACCTCTGTGACCTCAGTAGGATCAATACCTGCTTGTCTTTTACTTCTTCAGGCTACTGACAGTGGCCCCGATCAGAAGTCAGAAGCCTAGGGTATGACTGAACGTTCCACCATAAATAATGAGGAGTTATCTGTGATTTTTAACGATGGCTGATTTCTGGCCTGTGTATAAAATAAAAATGAATATAACCACAAATCCAAAGCCAAGTCATTGCTTTCCAGAAATCCAACTTATCTTTTTAATTTGGTATTTTGTGATTGATATTTTAAAACGTGATGGCTCGTATTGTTTTCTGTGAATGCACAAACTACATAATATTTTTCTTAGTCTCTTGAGCAAGTGTTGTTATTCACAAAGGGCAAATTGTTGAGCAACTTAAAAATATGACAGGATTATTTCATCAGATAAGCCTTATATATGTCCTGAGCACAACTCATGGCATGGTAGCTGTCTTCTTGCAGTCCCCAGATTAAGTGGCACACAGATGAAGTAGTGGTTATGGTAGAGGGTGGAATGGTGCACACCCAGATAGATAAATGAACAGGTAACCTTCCTACCCCAGAGTGCAGTAATACAATCACCCAAGGACAAGTTAGGACACTTTGTGCTGTATAATCCTATTAGGCTGAGAATTGATGATAAAGCTCTTTGTAAGATAACTTAAGGGATGAAAGCTATAAGAAGCCCTGAGCTCTTTATGTAATTTCATTTGTAACTGATATTTTAAAATAGGTTCAATATGGCACTTTGTAATCAAAGGCAGTATCCTGGAAGATGAAGAGCTGGGGCTCTGATGTCTAACAGACTCAGTTGCAATATTGGTTCCACCGTTTTCTAACTTTGTGATCTTGGACAACTTATTTAACCTCTGTAACTCCCAGTCTCCTCACTGGTTAAATAGGGATGACCATAGTGTGAGGACAAAATGTGATAATTAATAAATGTGATAAAGAACTTTCTCATTAAATGTACCATCTGGCACATGGTAAACATTTAGTATATTTTAGCTAGTATATTATCATTACTAATCATAGTACCACTACTACTACAATTACTATTATTATTATTAGTGGATCTTACATTAACAGAATGTAGCTTGCTTTTCTGGAATTTGTTATAACTTTTTAATACTATGGTAATATAGAGTCTGGATAAATCACGGTCTGAATGCATGACTAATTAAAAGTACCACTTTAAGAAGCATCACCTTCTCACTTGCATATTTCAGGGGATATTAGTAGCATGAGAATTTATGGATGTCTACCCCAGTGTTTCTTGATCACTTTTTCATTATTTCCCCCCTAAGGAGCCTTTAAAAATGTTTTCCCCAATTTTAGAGAGACCAAGCAGCAGTAGCAGCAGCTGATGAAGAGAGAGACAGTGGCAGAGGAGGGGCACCTTTTATTTCTGTTTTTAAAGGGACAGGACACTAGTTTTACCCCACTTCAACCTTGAAATGAGGGGGGTTGGGAAAGGAGGCTGAGTTCCTTCCCCCACCCTCTATCCCTGAGACCTGAAAGGGGGATTGAACCTGAGAGAGAGGAGAAGGGGTTTCTTCTTCAAAAACCCTCATCCATGACTCCTACCCCTTCACTCCTCCAGTAGCCCCCCTCCCAAGTCTCCTCTACCCCTCTCCTCTTTGGCCAAGAAAGGAGAGAAAGAGACCAAAAATTTCTTAGCAACACAGACCCTTCTCTGCTGCTGCTGCTGTTGCTGCTTGGCCCTGTCTGAAGACATCTCACTACACCCAAGAGCAGCCACTTCCCCACTCTCCTCTTCCGTCCCTCCTCCTCCACGCCCCCCTTTACTACCCTTTGTGTCATCCCCCACAGCTCCAGGGAAGGCACTCCAAAATTGGGGGCAGAAAAGTTACTGCAAATGTACCATCATATAATAAAGTCACATGACTGACTGCCCTTTCTTTAACACCTAAAATAGTCCATTGTAGGTACACTTTGCCTCCTAGCACAACCAAAAGAAGGACAACAACAAATTTAAAAACAAAAAATAACCAGAACTGCCTGAAAATCGAACTGTATAGAAGTCCCACAACCAAGGAGTTAAAGAAGAAACATTCATCCAGGTCGGTAAGAGGGACAGAGGCAGGCAGCCAGGGAAAAGAGGATGTGAAGCAAGGTGATGGCTGGTGGACCGGGCGATCCCACATTTCCCTGTGGATAAACCAGGAGGAATAGCTGGGGCATGAGATGGATCGCGCAATCCAGGGTTCCAGTGCGGGAAAAGAAAGCCTCAAAAATTCTGACTGTAAATACCGGTGGGGGATATGGTGGCAGAAGAAACTCCCAGCCTCACAAGAGAGTTTGTTGGAGAGACCCACAGGGTCCTAGAACATACACTCAACCACCCACCTGGGAATCAGCACCAGAAGGGCCCAATTTGCTTGTGGCTAGTGGGGGAGGTGACTGAAAGCCGCCCAGAGCAAGCAAGCAGCAGTGTTCCCTCTCGGACTCCTCCCCCACATCCGTCAGAACTCAGTGACCTGGGTTGCCCCGCCCTGGCGATAACCTAAGGCTTTGCCTGTTCCAACGTAACAGGTGCACTGAGACAAAGAAATATGGCCCAAATGAAAGAACAGATCAAAGCTCCAAAAATATAACTAAGTGACGAGGAGATAGCCAACCTATTAGATGGAGAGTTCGAAACACTGGTAATCAGGACGCTCACAAAAACGGTTGAGTATGGTTGCAAAATGGAGGAAAAAGTGAAGGCTATGCAAAGTGAAATAGAGAAAAATACACTGGGAACCAACAGTAAAGCGAAGGAAACCAGGACTCAAATCAATGATTTGGAGCAGAAGGAAGAGATAAACATTCAACCAGTACAGAATGAAGAAACAAGAATTCAAAAAATGAGGAGAGGCTTAGGAACCTCTGGGACAACTTTAAATGTTCCAACATCTAAATCTTAGGGGTGCCAGAAGGAGAAGAGGAAGAGCAAGAACTTGAAAATTTATTTGAAAAAATAATGAAGGAGGAACTTCCTCAACCTGGCAAAAGAAATAGACTCCAGGAGATCCAGGAAGCTAAGAGAGTCCCAAACAAGTTGGATCCAAGGAAGCACACACCAAGGCACATCATAATTAATTTACCCAAGATTAAAGATAAGGAGAGCATCTTACAAGCAGCAAGAGTAAAGGGGACAGTTACTTACAGAAGAGTGCCCACGGGACTGTCAGCTGATTTCTCAGGAGAAACCTTGTAGGCAAGAAGGAGCTGGAAAGAAGTATTCAAAGTCATGAAAGACAAGGCCCTACACCCAAGATTACTCTATCCAGCAAAGTTATCATTTAGAATGGAAGGGCAGATAAAGTACTTCCCAGATAAGGTCAAGTTAAAGGAGTTCATCATCACCAAGCCCTTATTATATGAAATGTTAGGGGGATTTATCTTAAAAAAAGATCAAAAACTATGAACAATAAAATGACAACAAACTCACAATTGTCAACAACTGAACCTAAACAAAAACAAACTAAGCAAACAACTAAAACAGGAACAGAACCACAGAAATGGAGATCAGAGGGGAGGGGGAGCAGGGAGATTGGGGGGGGAAGTACACGGAATAAGCAGCATAATTGGTAGGTACAAAATAGAAGAATAGTATAGGAAATGGAGAAGCCAAAGAACTTATATATATGACCTATGGACATGAAGTAAGAGGGGGAATGCTGGTGAGATGGGGAGTACAGGGCAGAGGGGAATAAAGGGGAGAAAAAAATGGGACAACTGTAATAGCATTATCAATTATATATATATATATATATAAAATAAATAAAAATATTTTTAAAAATGTTTCCCCAATTGTAATACCACAGTAAAATTTTAATACTACAGTTATTTTTCTTTTTAAGAACTTTAAACAGCAAAGACCTACTATGTGTCTATTTATGTACTATGGTGCTTTAGAAGCTACAAACCATTGTAATACCTAACCATATATTTTTTGTCCTACAAGAACCATTTTTTCACACCCATGGGGACGATATCACCCCCCATTGAGAATACATGATTTAATGCAGTTGTTCCTAACTGAGGGCAATTTTGCCTCCCAAGGGACATTTGGCAATGTCTGGAGACATTTTTTATTGCACTCGGGTGGGTGGGTGCTTACTGGTATCATGTGAATAGAGGCCAGTGCTCGAAATGTCAGTTTGTCCCAGCGATTATTAAGAAAGGTAAAAATGAGCGTGAACTCTTAAGGCCACAAGGTAAAGAAAATAGCAGAAGTTGGATTCCTGACCTTCAGGTTGAACGCATGGACAATGTGATATGCTTGTTTAGGGGGAAAAAAAGCCATCTTTGCATCTTAGGTATTGTTGTTGTTTTCAGTAATATAGTGCTTTTTGCTCTTTCTGTTAAATGTGTGTAAAAATGTGTGTGAACATTTCAAATATGTGTTCAGTAACAACTTTGTTTTCTATTTTTGTTTCGCTGTGTCTTACTCTATGAAACAGATGTATTCCTGAAAAAAATGTATAAATTCATTTCCTGCGAGTTGCATTTATTCCTTGGATTTCATTTCATTATATATTTGAGAGGCTTATCTTCATTCCTAATTGAGCCTGATTTTGACCTGGCTCCTAACATTGTTGCTTTAAATGCGAATTTAGCAGTCTCTCCGCCTCTCTGACTTTTAGAGAGTAGGAATAGTTTAAGAGAGAGTATGGATTTATGTTTAAAGTGAGACAGTCTGTTCTTTGATGGACATGGTTCAGGCCTTATGTCCAGAGTTCCTGGCTCCCGTATTGTCCCTGTCACACTCATGTTCCCTTCTTCTGCTGCCCAGAGTTGGTGTTGAAGAGCCCTTCGAGGAGGACCAGAATGAACACCGCTGGCAATACTTCAGGTGACACAAGGGCATCCTCCGAAACAAATTAACTGGGCCTGGCTTTTCTCAGCTTTTTAACCTGAGATGTTTCTCTTTATGCTATTTGTCTCTTTCTTCCTGCATGTGCCAACCCCTTGCCCCTTTTAGCAAAGAGGCAAGAGGTCAGGTCAACTCTAATCATTCTTCCACTCTTTCTCTGGGCTGCTTGATATATCAATGTTCCTGAGATTCTGTCCCATTACCCTGCATTTTGGACAATGCTGGCGTATATCTTCTTGTACAACTGAACTTAAGAGCATCATATTTGCAGAGCCACAAATACTTTCCCTACAAAATCCTGCTAATTTTCTAATAAACAAGACTTCCAACTCATGAAGAGAACTAGAATTTCATATTTCAGACATGGTTGGGGTATGGCTCACACCATCTTAATTAAGTACAGTTTTAGTTTTTAAAATATGTTTTTGTGCATTTGCACATTATCATGGTGAATCAAAAGATACAAAAAACAGGCATTTTTAAGCCAGAAGATAATTAAAGGCACTTCTAATGCATTTTTTTCCCTCAGTGCACATCCAAGTTTTTGATTTGATTATGCTTAATGGTGGTGATGTTGGGCAATCAGAATAAAGACTTTAATGTTCTTTCCTTTCTGTATCTTTAACTCGCATGCTTTCTTCCTGGTCTGATTTTGGGTTCTGGTCAATAATTCAAGTGCAAAATAGGCTTGAACTTTGTTCTTGGCATTGTGAAAGTATTTCACTCTTTGAGCACAGTGTGAAAGCAGCTGTATCTTGGGATATCAGTAGGCCCTAGATGCATTCTGTAATGACACACATACAATTAATTGAAGCATGCAAGTTTTCTAGGTTTTAACTTTTTTCTACTGTTTAAAATACACACATACACATTCATTTTTGGAGATCTGACTTTAGATACTGGTTAAGTTGCAGAGGAAACCCTCTCCTTTGAAATATTCCAACTCCAAGAAGGAAGTTTCTTCAGGTAAAGCACAGATTATTAAACTTGGGACATGAGAGGATTCAGATTCTGATCTGTTGTTCAAGGTTTTGTATGAATGTGTGTGTCTAATAGTACTCAAATTATTTAGGACCTCTGCCATTCAAATTAAAAAAAAACTATCAATTAAACTAGATAGTTCTAAATTTGTAAGTTTCAGAAGTTCTAAAATTTCTTCAATTTTATGACATTTTATATAGCAGTTAAATCAGAATGTACATATTATACCAGAAAGGAAATTATTCATTTTTTTTTTTGTATTTAATCATTCCACAATGAGCACATCTGTTTGATTGCTTCGTTTTCTCATTTGGTATGGGATTTTCATGTTTGTTTCATTCTTAATGAAAATAAGGATAATTCAGTTTATTCCAGAAGAAAAGACTGTTGTATGTGCTCTGATGAGCTCAACTCTGATGTATCAGGGAAATGTTAAAATATGATAGAGTAAAACAGCACACAAGGTTCCAGATTGATTCAGAGCATTACAGTGAGTCAGAAGAGAAATGTGTATTATGGACAGTTGCCTAAAACTAGGAATTTCAAAAAGTCAGGGAACTCCTAAGTCTTCTGAGGCATTATACCAAAATACTGTGCCTAGTCTTTCTTGCTGCCCAGAACACCACCAAACACCCTGGCCCATTGCTTAACCTCCTGTCTCCGGAGACCAGGTTGATTCTGGGCTATGCCCCAAGAACAAGATTCCTTGTGGTGGTCCTGTCATCCTTGGAGATTGGTCAGAGGGGCCCTCACCCCTGCCAGAAAATTAATGATTAAATTGTCCTAAAGTAAACAGCCTTCAATGGGGAAAGAAATCACAGAGCACCATTAGAATCTCATGGCCCCTGGACTGTTTTCTTTTGTTATTTAAAAATCAGTAGCAATCTGGGAAGTAGGTCTTTGTTTCCATGCTCAGAAATCTCCTATCAGCACTTATACCAGGAGCAGGGTCCTCCCACATTTCTCTGCCTGTGGGAGGGCCCAGGAGGTCCTTTTAGGCTCCATGCTGTCGAGTTTGAACTGCATCTTAGACAGGTAGCTCATAGCAAGTGGTAACAGCAAGGATCAGAACTTCTACAGCAGAGGTACATAAAAGCAAGAAAAGTGGATGCTGGGTAACAATGACCTTAGAAATGATGATTTCCTGGGGATGGGTACAATGAGATCAGAATATGGATGTATTTGTTGGAATTTGATTAACTAGCATTTTTCCCCTTGCTCTTTCCTTTTAGGAGAATCTCAACAAAATATTCCAGGATTTATCTGGAAAAGAACACTACATAATTATTAGAATCTATATCTACCTATTCATCTATTACCTGTATTTACCTATTATAGCACCTGTGTCCATGAATCTTAACAATTTGTGGTTTTCAGACCCTGAAATAATATAAGATACTGAATCATCAATAATAGTACATTAGAGAGCCAAGAAAATATAGTGATGTGTTTTTGAAACATTTTCAACAAGGATGTAATTAAATATTCCTGTTTCATTTTCACCAAGGATATAATTAAATAGCCTTTTTTAGTTGTGAAAAAAATTTTTATCTGTAAAAAAAATTGAAATGATGGGACAATGAATACCCAAGCTCTAACCTGGATAAGTCAATTGTTAACATTTTATCATATTTGTCTGGTCATTTTCACTCTGTCACTCTCTCTCAGCCATTTCAGAGTACTTCATAGTACATTGCAGATATCATGACTTTCTAACCCTAAATATTTCACATATATCTCCTAGGAATCCAGTCTGTGACATAATCACAATACCTTTATCACACCTGAGAAAAAGTAACATGAATTTTACACACACACTGGATCCAGGATACAATCAAAGTTTATTTTGGTTGTTATGTCTCTCTAATCTCTTTTAGTCTACAACAATACTCAACCTCCCTTTTTGTGTGTTTTTAAGTTCTCAGGACAATTGTCTTACAAAGTTTCCACAATTTGAATTTTTATGATTTGTTTTCCTCATGACTTGAGGTAATCATTTTTTTTTTAGAAAAAAAAAACTGTAGAGGTGATGTTATAAATTTTTCTTAATTTTATTTATTCATTTTAGAGAGAAGAAAGGAGGGAAAGATGGAGAGAAACATCAGTGTGTGGTTGCCTTGCACGTGCCTCCTACTGGGGGCCTAGCCTGCAACCCAGGAATGTACTCTGACTGGGAATCCAACCAGTGACCCTTTGGTTTGCAGGCCGGCACTCAATTCACTGGGCCACACCAGCCAGGGCTGATGTCACACATTTCTTGTTTCACTTTATCATGTGGTGCTTATTGCCAGACTGACCTTTATTAATGATGCTAAACTTGATCACTTTAGACCCTAGGTCTCTCCCCTGTAAAGGTGTCATTTTTCCTACATAATTAAAAAATAATCTGTATATCTGTTCCTTGACTGGACCTTTTGCCTTCTTTTTTTTCAATAGCTATATATATATATTTATTTTATTTTTTCCATCATCATTTCTCCCCACTATACTCTCTTCCAGCTCCACCCACTCCCTCCCACCAATAATCACCACATGGTTGCTTGCGTGCATGACTTTTTTCTCTTTTTCTTTTCTTTCTTGTTTGCTCTCCCCATCTTGCCCCAGAGCTGTCAGCCTGCTTTCTTTTCTTTTATTTTACATATATATATTTTATTGTTCAAATACACTTGTCTCCATTTTCCCGCCACCACTTTCCCCTGCCCCACCCAGCCCCACCTCCCACCCTCCATCCTTTCCCACTTTGACTTTGTCCATGGGTCCTTTATACATATTCCTTGATTTGAACCTTCCTCTTCTTTTTCCCATTACCCTCCTCCCTCCTTCCCTCTTGTTACTATAGGTTTGTTTTTTCTTTCAATGTTGCTGGTTGTATTTTTCTTGCTTGTTTGTTTCGTTGATTAGGTTCCACTTATAGGTGAGATCATATGGTATTTGTCTTTCACCACCTGGCTTACTTCACTTAGCATAATGCTCTCCAGTTCCATCCATGATGTCGCCAAGGGTAGTAGCTCTTCTTTCTGCTGCATAGTATTCCATTGTATAAATGTACTATAGTTTTTGATCCACTCATTTACTGATGGGCACTTAGATTGCTTCCAGCACTTGGCTATTGTAAATTGTGCTGCTGTGAACACTGGGGTGCATGGGTTGTTTTGAATTGGTGTTTTGGGATTCTTAGGGTGTAATCCCAGAAGTGGAATTGCTGGGTCAAAAGGCAGTTCCATTTTAGCTTCTGAGGAAATTCCAAACTTTTCCACAGTAGCTGCACCAGTCTGCAGTCCCACCAACAGTGCACTAGGGTTCCCTTTTCTCCACAGCCTCGCCAGCACGCGTTGTTTGTTGATTTGTTTATGATGGCTATTCTGACCAGTGTGAAGTGGTACCTCATTGTGGTTTTAATTTGCATTTCTCTGATGGCTCGTGTTGCTGAACATCCTTTCATAGGTCTTTGGGCCCTGTGGATGTCCTCCTTGGAGGAGTGTCTGTTCAGGTCCTTTGCCCATTTTTTAAAGATTTTATTTATTTATTTTTAGAGAGAGGGGAAGGGAGGGAGAAAGAGGGAAACATCAATGTGTGGTTGCCTCTCATGCGCCCCCTACTGGGGATCTGGCCCGCAATCCAGGCATGTACTCTGACTGGGAATTGAACTGGTGACCCTTTGGTTTGCAGACCAGCGCTCAATCCACTGAGCCACACCAGCCAGGGCTGCCCATTTTTTAATTGGATTGTTTGTCCTCCTGGAGTGGAGTCATGTGAGTTCTTTATGTATTTTGGAGATCAAATCCTTATCCGAGGTATCATTGGCAAATATATTTTCCCATACGATTAGTGATCCTTTGCCTTCTTTTCCCCCTTAGCTCCCCCACCTCCTCTCTGGTCACTCAGTCTGTTCCTTGTTTCCATGCCTCTGGTTCTATTCTGCTCCTTTGTTTGTTTTGTTCATTAGGTTCCTGTTATACATGAGATTATATGGTATTTGTCTTTCACTTCCTGTCTTATTTCACATAGAACAAAAATTTAAAGAAAAACTATCTATAGAGTGATCCTTTGACATCATATGAATAGCCAGACTCCAAACAACATTTTACCTACTGTAAATCATCCACTGATGACCCTTGCTTGAAATAGTTATTTTACTAGGAGTGGAAAATAGTGATTCTCTAATTCTGTCATTCCTTTCATGTTTATAAGATGACATTTATCTGTAAAGAGGAGCTTTCAGAGGGTTTTAAAATTTATTTTATATATTGATGAAATCAGGAGTCCCTCCAAGTGTCCGTTTGAGCAAACTGTTACTTCATGTTTGTGGCACTTGGGATTGTGTCTCTGCAGGATCTCAGCAGGCATCTTGGGTGTTATTACTGAGAAGGCAGAAAGTAGGAGACAGTTGTCACTTTTTTAGTTGAGAAAAGAATGATGCTAGAGAGATGTGGCTGGAGTGAGTACTTTCTAAAAACTTCACTGCCCAATTTGGTAGCCACCAGCCACATGTAGTTATTTAAGTTTAATTTTAATTAATTAAAACTAAATAAAATTTGTAAACTAACTAACAAAATAAACCACAGGCGTGAAAACATGCAGCAGACTGAACGTGTCCAGAAGGAATGGGGAAAGAGGACAATGGTGGAAGGAAGGAGAAGGGACTAAACAAAGAACATGTATGAGTGACCCATGGACATGGACAACAGAGTGGGAACTGACTGTGGGAGTGGGGGGTGGGGTGGGATGAGTGGAGGAGGACAAAGGGGGAAAATTGAGACAACTGTAATAGAATAAACATGCTTTAAAAATAAAAAAAAATTAAAAACAAAATTTAAAATGCAGTTCCTCAGCCATCTTAACCACATTTCTAGTGCTGAGTGGCCACATGTGGCTAGTGGCTACCATTCTGAACAGCACAGATTTAGAACACTGCCATCATTGCAGAAAAGTTCCATTGGACAGTATAGATCTAGAATCACTCTTAAGTTCCCCCAAACAAAATGTTGAACATCCCGAGTTGGGGATGAGGTTTGGATGGCTCTAATTTTGTGAGTTTATCCAATTATTTCATTGTTTCATGTTTTGTTCTTTTGATTCTAGCCTGGCCATGTGGCCCCAGGCTGAATAGATGTGTTCCACTGATGTTGCCAGGACTTGAGTGAAAATAGTCAAAACCTAGTGTTTATAAGCAGTTCTTGTTAGACGGAATTTATTTTAATTTTTGCTTAACAATTTTTCCCTCCCAGTAGAGATTAGTTAAAAGAATAGAGGTGCTACATTTCACTTGGCAGGTTTTACTGTATTTGACTTAATTTTCTTCATTGTAGTACAGGACACTCTTCAGCCTTTTTTCTTACCCTTAGGCTTGCTGTTTCACCTAGGCTGATAAAGTCAATTGGTTTTATCTCTACTGACATGAAAGCCACATGCAAAGGCTAATACACCTGTTTCAAAATTCACGGTACAGAAAGGAGAGATTATTAGTGCCAGATCTGAATGGCCATATTCTTGGCCATAATGTACTTTATATCCTTCAGATCTCATATACTTGTTGCTGCTGCCCTACAATAGCCTCTCTGTGTTTAGGCTGAGGGCTTTCAGGTCACCTGGAATTCTGGTAGGCTGTCTGGGAGATGTTGGGGTAACTGGCACTGTGCCGCCTCTAACTGTGCACCGGGAGCTCATCTGAGTCAATTAGTCTGTCATGAAGTGGCTTTGAGCTGTTACAGAATCCACAGAACAAGGCCTAACATTGGACTCCTAGCTGCTGATTTTACAAATGCTCTCAAAACTGCCCTGTAGAAGACTTTTCTCTGTGTAATACACATTAAGAGACTCTCAAAACAGGTGAGTGTTCAGGATCAACATCGAGGAATTCAATTTGTGACCTCTTCTCTACCACTTTGGTACATTAGACACTTTGGGTGCACTGATGCTCTGGTGTGACTTTTGTGGGCAGTACTGGGGCCCCTGAATTATATGGAATTCCTGTCAAAAAATATCTGTGAAATATGTTGCTTAAAAGCCCCTGGATCATGTCCAGTTGTGAGGATAAGCCTCCAGCCCTCAGAAACTCCTGCCTAGAAGCAGCTTATGGACACGTAGGAAAGTTTATCTAATTTACCGCAAAGGTCTCATTAAACCTCAGGCCCATGGGGAGGAAATTGGGCACTGGGTACACTGTGGGTTTTAACTAAGTGCTCAGAACAGTGCCTGGCAAAATATGGGGTAATTGCTCCCTTTCCTTCTATAACCCCACCCTGTCCAGGGGCATGCACTTTTGGTTAGTGCTTGACAAACCTGGAATAAGAGGAGAGGTTGGTTTTGGAGGTAGAAGTGCATCTATGTTGTCTTCTATTCCTGTTTTCCATTAGTATCTTTTCCCAAGAAATATCCTGGGCATCATAGGTGAGGGAGAGGAAAGGAGAGGAGGAAAAGTAAGGTATGCACACACAGGGATTTGTGCTTCTGCTGGTCTGCTCGTTGGAGTAAGAACCCTGGTAGCAGACTGCAGATAACACCCTGCTAAGGCCATTCAGCAGCTCTCTTCAGGCTAAAATCAGATCTGCTGAATGCTGTTCTTGGTTTACTTTGTGTAATACCATATGTTCTTTGTGATACTGGAAGGAGTGAGGGAAGATAGAGAATTTTCCTGACATCTTTGCTTTTTCCCTCATTGTCCCATGTTATCCATGTCACCTATATCAGAATCAGGAAAACACAGGAATAAAGAATTAACAGATGGCAACCATTGGTATATTACTGAGCCAAGAAAGCACTTTTATGGAATTTGTTATAAATGGATTTTGCCACTTTGCTTTTGTTTTTTGTGTTCAGTTCACCTCAGATGTGTGACTTCTCAGGTCATCTCTGCTACAGGAGGACATGGGGGCACCAGGATAAAAAATTAAAGATATATGCATGCTGAAGTATTTAGAGGAAATGTACTGATTCCTGCAACTTTATTTGAACTCATCCAAAAAATAATATGGGTGATAGAGAGATGTATAGATGTGTAATAAAGAAAATACAGGGAGGGGAAGGGGAAGGGTCAGATTAAGGAACAGGTGTGAAAGACACATGGATGAATCCAAGGTGGGGAAGGATGGGGGGTTGGTGGGGGTTGGGACAGGAGAAAGTGGTGGTAGGTAAATGAGACAAATGTATTTGAAAAATTAAAAAATATATAAATTTTTTAAAACAGAAAATACAGCAAAATGTTAATGGTAGGATCTAGGTGGTGGATATATAGGTGTTCACTATAAATCCTTTCAGCACTTCCTTGGATGTATAAAAAGTTTCATAACAAAAGGTCAAGGAAATAAATGGATGTCAGGGCAGAAGTGAGAAGCAATAGAGAGGAAAAGGCCTGGTGCAGTGGGACCCACATTTTTATTATGGACAGTCTGCTGCAGGAAAGCAGATCAACAGTTGCCAGCTGGTGCTATTCCCTAGAGGCCTTGCTCAGGGTATAAGCACACAGGATTTATTGCCTCTCCTACCCCCTGGGATCTGATGTGGTATATAACCTCTTTCACACAACTTTTGCATGACAGCCTTCCTCTTCTTTTAGCTACCCATTCCTTCCGCTTTGGGAAGATGGTCAAGCTCTTGCCAACTTTCAGCCAGAAATGTTGCCATGGCCCAAGCTAATACTCTCCATTATTCTCCTTGTCTTTTTACCTGGTGACTTACAGAGTTGGTGTTGACCCAGATCAAGACCCACCACCCAACAACGACAGCTTTCAAGTCTTACAAGGGGTAAGTCACAAGACATGCTTCTTCCCAGGGAAAACATTATTAAAAATAGCTAAAATTTATTAAGTATTTACTATATACCAGGCACTTTAAATGAATTCTGTCATTGTGATCTTGACAAGAACTTAATGAGGTATTTGCTATTATCCCATTTTATGAATTAGAAACTGAAGTTTGAGAGTGTCAGTGAATTATACAAGGCCAGAGAATTAGAAAGTGATGGAGCCAGGATTTGATCACAGAGATAGTGTTCTTAAACAACATATTAAGGGGGTGGGCTAGCCAGAAAGAGTGCTTAAGCTAAGTCCCCAACTCCCTACCTTCCATCAATGGATATATTTGATAAACTGGTGATTGGTTCATTGTAACTGGTTCTGATCTCTCAGTGGTGCCCAGGCAAAGGAAGGAAAGGTATGTGATTGCAGGCTCTCCTGTTCTTCTAGGGCCTGGGGTCCTCAAAGCTCTCTGAGTTTTCCTCCAGCCCACTGATGGCAGAGCAGCAGCCCTTATCCCTACATAGGCTGAAGGTCACAGCAAGGTTAACAGTTAAGGCTTGGGCAGGGCAGTAGCAGTAATTGGCGGGGGAGGGAAGCTGTAGAGACAGTGAGTGGAAGAGCCCTATTGCAACATTTAAAGTGACCACAGGGAAGACTGGCTGTTCCAGCAGAGAATGTTAATGGTTGTTGTTATGTCCATCTGCACCAGTTACTATTGTTGCACAATAAACTGTCCCAAATGTAGAAGAGTGAACAATGATTTCTTCTACTCATGGATTCTCTAGGTCAGGAATTTGGAAAGGGCCTAGTACCATGGCTTGCTTTTGCACCATAAAGAAGGCCAGGGGTAACGTGAAGCTGGGGCTGGAATCATCTGAAGGTTGATTTGCTCCTGTCTGGCTCCTGGGCTGGGAGGATTCACACAAGGACAGTCAATTAGAATGCTGCTTTGTGGCTTCTCCATGTGGCCTCAGGGAGCTGGACATGTCATGTCAAAGTGGTAGACATGTCATGCTTTTATGCTGCCGTACCACCCCTGTTGTGGAAATGGCAGGATGATTTTGTCTCCAGGTTTTGCTCTTTTTCCAGGCTGGCATTTCCTGGGCAGGCCAAGTGGTAGAAAGGAGAGTTTTGATAAGAGCAGAAATTTTTTCCAAAATGTTATTTTTTGCCCTCGGGAGTCAAGAACAATTTTGATCAGCATTGAATATCCAGTGCTCAGCATAGTGTCTAGCACCTGGGGAGCTCAATAGGTATTTGATGGGCAGATGCAAGCATGATGCACCAGTGCAGAAGAAAGCTTCACTGACCACATGCATGTGTTGTCCGCTAAACCATGTTGATTGTTTCTTTTTCTTCCAGCCAGCTTTGAATTATACTCATCATTGCACTTCATCCTAAATCCAGTCTACATATTTCACATTCCATAGGATCTTCTAAATGAGTTCATCTACCAAATCACATGTAACAAGTGTTGCAAAATGTGGTGCTGTGTGGGGCCCAGGGGATACTTTTCTGATTTTTTTCTCTTTGAGGGTGGTCACAGCCTGATAAGGCATTTTTGGTGTTGATGCCCCTTAAGGGACACAAAGCCATGCCCTCTGCAAGTTCTGGGTATTTTGGGAAGAGCTTTCAATGAACTACATTGGATATTTGGTACCCACTTCAGTGGTGCTCCAGAAGACCTTTGTGATTATAATAGAATTGGCCATTATGCCAGTTGGGAACATGTGGTTTCAATGAGTTCTTTTTTTGAAAAGTTGCTCTTTGACCCTAGCTTTGATTAAGGACTTTAGTAAACAGGGTTCAGAAATTGTGCACTTGGAAGCTAATTTAGAGTATAACAGTTTGGGAGATCTTAAGACTCACCTCCAAGACAAACCTGGGTGAAAATTGTGATGGGTGTCTTCATTTCACTGAGAGGAAAATAATGGCTCTGGTAGGATATGACTACCCCATTCCAGTGTATTCTCCACAGACTAACAGCCAATCAAAATAAATTTTATAAGAAAAACAGTCTAATTCCAACTGGATAACCAGGGTTTAGAGAGATTTCATTTTGACAGTTCTTAAAAATCACACACCTCCCAGCCCTTTTTGCTGTTTGCCATTGCTCTTGCCTTTGGACACAAGCATCTATAAAAGCAAATACAGGAAATAGATTGGTAGGTTTCATGCAGCTGAACTTATTATACATCTCATAGGAACTGCACATGGACACAGTTGGCTTGTAACCAAACTTAGTAACACACTTGCTGTCACTTTTGCATGGAAATGTTTTAGAAAGCAGTGGGTCCTAAGTGCTGAGGGTTCTGACAGTGCATTTATTTCATGTAGTGACAGCTAAGATAGTGCCTCCTGCTCCAGGTGGGTAAACCTTCCTGGATGGGTAAACTCAGTGACTCAGTGTTCCTGGCAGCTCCCTGGAGGACACTTTGGACCAATTGTAAAAACTCACAGCCACTTTTGCTGCACTCCCAGTTGTGCCCAGTTGGCCAGACCTACCTAGGAACTGTGTCACAGCTTCCCTTTAACTTCCCTTTTTCCAAGTCTCAGACACAGGCATGCAAAGGGCCCCCAAAGTCAGTTCCATTGGCATTTCAAGATTTCTGTCAGACTGGAAACAAAAAGACGAACTTCAAGTTTGGTTCCCCAGGATACCTTCTTAAAAATGGCTCATGCCCTTCTGCAGAAAGGGCCTTATTTCTCTAAATCTTCCTGGCCTGACCTTTTTGGTACAGTGAACCACTATCAGCAGTGCTGTGATTACTCAGTGGTCATGAGAAACAGTAAAACAGAGAAATAAGTGGGCTTCTCATTTTTGGGTGAAACCCTGGGTTCTTGCAGTTTCCCCTGAAATGGATCCAGATCACACACAGTGTTGTCATGAAAGTGAAATCAGAGGTGGAAAAAGTCCAGATGTTTGTTCTCCATTAGAAAAGAAAGGGCAGTTCTCTTTACCTCATTTTCTAAATGATCTTTCTAAAAACAAACAAAAAAGTGATATTTGATGGGAATGCATATTTTATAGAGAGCACAATTTTCCTTTCTGGTTCTAGAAGATCAAGGTTATAATCAGAGTCATGGCTACAGGGCCACAGAATATTAGCTTATGTGGATGAAGGAAAGGAGCTGTTGGCTAGAACTTTTTTGGCTTTATGTGACGGAAGTATAAGAATATTGTGGGCAGAATTTAGCTTCATGTTCCTGGCAGGTTTGACTCATTAGAACAAAACAAAACAAAACAAAAACCTCCGTTGCTTTGTTTCTCGGAGGTCCTGGTGACTTTGCAACCAAAACAAAAACAAGCGCAGCTGGAGGCAAACTGCCCAGGCCTGGAGATGGCCTCACACCCCATTCAAGTGGGGACTTTTCATGCCAGACCCAGCTGAGATTTGTGTTGGCCGGACATGCAGACATATCATTCACTTCCTTCCACAAGTTTATAGTAGGGCACTCATTGATGAGCCTTAGCTAGGAGCCCGAATCTGAATTTTTCCTGGCTTTATCATCTCAGCAGGACAAGGTCACAAGCAGGATATTAGTGGAATGTGGAGGAAAGGAAACCACTGTGCTTGCAGTGCCTGTGTGTGTATGTATGTGTGTGCATGCACACAAGTGTGAAAACTGCAGAAAATCAGCTGTTCTTACTTGCATTGACATATAAGTTTCTGGGCAAGTTGGATTTGTTTGTTTCTAGGTTCTCCTCCAGCGTTCCCCTAGGCTGATATCTGATACCCAGTCACTTATATCTTTAACATCAGTTGCTGAAATGTTGTTCCTCAAATGCTGACTTTCTCATCCTCATACCACCAAGCTTTTCTTTTTGTTCCTTTTGCCTGCCTTGGGCCCCCTGTTTTCCCTTTCTGCTATTCTTTTTTTCCTTAAAGTTCAAAATTAACATTAATTTATTCATTCATTTAACAAATATTTATTGAGTGTTAGGGTGGTCAGTGACAGGGACTGTGAAAGAATTCACAAAGAGAAGAAAGTACAAAGAGTAAAGGTTTTATTTTTACTTTCCCAAGAGAGGGAAAGGGCTAGGTGTGGAGATGTGCACCAGCGCCAGCACCAGCTCTGAGGGGTTCAGGCCATGAGTTTTTATTAGGTAATGGGGTGGTTGTAGAGCAGGACATTTCAGTTATGCTGCAACTTGTTTCGATGGTATCTTTGGTGCAGGGTCCAGTCGTCCAGTTGTTGTGGTCTGGGGTCTGGTCATTGTTGTCAGGTCATTGTGGTCTGGTATGTCTTGTTTCATGGGTTCCTGGAGCCTCTATGCCTTCAGGGAGCTTCCTGTAATTTTCTAGTCCTGAGGATTAAGGCTCATAAAAAAATTAGGGTCAGTCATGCTTGGGGGTCTAGCCAGCTCTGGGAAAGAGAGTCTCAGAAAGTGGCTTTTGTCCTGTTATTGAGCATCTGTTATATTTCAGACATTCTTTTGGGCTCTGCGAATACATCTGCAAACAAGTCAGATGAATCTTTGTCCTCAAGGGTTTGGTGACAGTGTGATGGAAGGGTAAGGGTGGAGAGTGGCAGAAGTGAGCTTCTGGAGGGCCTCATCTGCTTTTATTCTATGGACTGTAGGCCTGTCCTCCTACTACTCCAATGGCCCCCACAGACCAGCAGCCTGGGCATGACCAGAGTTCATTAGAAATGCAGACTCTCAGGTCCCACTTTGACCCACTGAATCAGAATCTTCATTTGAACAGGGCTCCTAAGGGGTTTTGTGTACACACTGCAGTAAGCACTGGGGAGCTTTTGAGTCCCTGTTTTCATGACCTTTTATTACTCCCTTTTGAGAAATCTTGGCCCCATCATCCCAGGAACATGAAAAAGATCCAAATCTGGTTGCATCATTTATTTACTCTTTTGCTCTGCATTAGTTCTGTTTTCCTGCTGTAACAAATTAGCATAAATTTAGCAGCTTAAAACGACGATCTTACAGTCCCGTAGGTCACATGTCTAGGGGGCTCCACTGATTTCTCTTTTTCAGGTCCCTCAAAGCTGAAATCAAGTTATCTTCAGGGTTGGGTTTTGCCACTTCCAGGGTCATCCAGGTCATTGGCAGAATTCATGCTTTTGTAGGGCTGAAGCCCCATTTCCTCACTGGCTGTTGGCCAGGGGGTCAAGCTCAGCTCTTAGAAGCACCTGCATTTTCTGGTTCATAGTCCCATCCAACTTCAAAGCCAAGAATAGTGAAGCAGGTCCCTGTCACACTTTGAATCTCTCCTGCATCTTCTTCTATTGCATCTAACTCTTTTGCCTGCCTTGTCCACTTTTGAGGGTCCATGTGATTATATTGGACCCACCTGGAAAACCTTCAGTCCATCTACAAAACCCCTTTTGCTATGTAACATAACATACTCACAGGCTCCAGTGATTAGGATGGAAAAATCTTTCAGGAACTGGTATTCTGCTCTATCTCTGAGAAAAGCATAAGCCATTCTTATTATTGTAATGACCTTAACTTAAAAAATCTTTCAACAATAAGAATAGAATAAGGTTCAGTTCTACCCAGAAATTCACTAGTTCTAGAAAAATTATTTTGAAAATAGAACCTTTTGCCACCCCTCAGTTCTTTAATCTGCTTTCTTTTTCTTCATCACATATGTCACCATATAGGTATCTCTCTGTCTCCCCCTCTGGAAATGTGCTCAAGGTGCATGAGCTGGGTCTTATTCCTCTTTATGCTTCTAGTACCCAGCATGTTGCCTGGCAGGCACACAGTCAGTGCTTAATAAATGAAGAATAAATAGATACTCAATATTATATGCTGAAAAATCGTAATAAACAGAGTTGGTGGTATTTTTTTTCTTGAAGGGGTTTTCCCATTAATATTGTCAGTAAAAAGTTTTAAAAAATACCTCATGTAACTCATAAGAACAGAGAATAGAATGGTGGTTACCAGAGTCTTGGGGAATTGGGGAGATGTTTAAGGGTTTAAACTTGTAGCTAAAAGGTGAGTAACATCTGGAGATCTAATGCACAGCATAGTGAGTATCAACAACACTGTATTATAAACTACAAAGTTGCTAAGAGACTAGGTATTAATTGTTCTTACCACAAAAAAATAATTATTGGGTTGATATAGGTATTAAATAACACTGCAGTGGTAATTATACTGCAATATACAAATACATGAAATCAACACATTGTATACCTTAAACTTACCTGATGTTATATATCAATTATCTTTCTTTATTTTGATTTAATTTACTTTAAAAAATATTTTATTGTTTATGCTGTTACAGTTGTCCCAATTTTCTCCCTTTGCCCCCCTGGACCCAGCCTGCCCCCCACTTCCATAATCAGTTCTCTCACCGTTGTCTATGTCTATGAGTCATACATGTATATTCTATAACTAATCTTTTCACCTTCTTTCAGTTAGTTCCCACCTCCTCCCCCCCCTCATACAGCTATCAGTCTCTTCCATGATTCTATGCCTCCGCTTTTATTTTGCTTATTAGTTTATTTCTTTATTAGTTATTAGTTTATTAGTTCATTAGATTCCTCTTATAAGTGAGGTCATATGGTATTTGTCTTTCAATTATATTTCAATTTAAATTTGTCCTGAGTCACACAGCAAGGCACTGACACACTCATGGACAGAGCTAGGATTTGGAACCAGGCAATCTGTTGAGAAAGAATGCGATTTTTACACTTACACCTCTTGGAGTGCTCTTGCCTTTGAAACATTTCTCAGAAAAGACAGACTTGTGCACAGCCTTAAAAAGTGAATAGGATCAGCCAGGTAGGTGTTGTGGGCAGAAGGTGAGAATATGACAGGGTGTTCCAGGTTCTAGAAACAGCCTGAGCTAAAGATATGGGGGTGTGAACCCTCCTGGTGGGAATGCAGGTTTTGAGAAGGGATATGGTGACAAAGCAAGCTCCTGCTTTTCCTGTGGGTACCACTTGAATGGAAATCCGACTCTGCAAATGTAGCCAGGAAGGGGGGCCCTGCGATTGTAGAATCAGCCTGCACCCACACTGACACCTGCTCAGTCCTGTGCTGTTCAGATCCCACAGGAAGGACTCCACTGGCTTGTTTGTGATAAATAACAGCCTAAATCAGTTGTGAAGCAGTGGGTTGTCCTCTGGGTCAACTTACAAAATTAGTCCTATTCACAGACCCTCCCCGATTTCCCCAAAGCCACTCTATGTGGATTTATCTAAGCTCTTCCTATACCTAATCATGCTTCTGGCACCACCTCTCAACACCCCTCTTACAATGTTGCACTTTTTATTTGCCCTGAATTTACCCCCATATAACTCAGGGTTATCTCTTGGTTTCTTACATTTCTGAGGTCACTGGATCTTATTTGTGGACTCCAGGCATATCTCTTTGTAGCCCAAGAAGAACTTTTGTTAGTTTGCTTTCAAAAAAGAAGCATTTCAGTTGCTTTACTCATTTTAATTGTCCCTCTTGGGGCTTATATAAGTCTTCTGTAGCTTTCTTGACATGAGATGGCAAGAACTTAAGTGTTCCAGTTGATGGACAATGAATTTTGGTTTTATAGAGGTGAGAATGACAGAGTAGGGGTTTGTCATTTTTCTTGTTTCAGAGGAGCAGATGAAACTGGCCTTGGGGAGATTTGTCTTGTGCCTGATATTTTAGGGTACCCTTCCTGATGATGTTTATCACCTTTTTCATTTTTCTTCAGTAACATTCTATAGGCACTTAGAACTAAGAGCTTAAAACCTATCACTTTCCCTAGTGTTGTCATTGGGCTAGCAGTTAATTACCTGAACGGAATGATTGTTATCTGCAAATGGAGACATTTCTGTGCCCTCTTTCTTCCATACAAGTTATAAAAATGTGAAATAAAGTTAGTCTGTGGAATCTGTTGTTTTTATTTCCTCAACCGCAGAAGGTCCCATTTAACTAAACCATTTCCATACAGGGTGGGGCAAAAGTAGCTTTAGAGTTGTGAGTATGTGAAACAGAGTATATTCTTGCATTAGTAATTGTTGTATTATTTTTCATATGAACAACTGTTCATATGTATTTGTCACTAAACATTCCTCAAATAACATGAGGACTTCATTTTTAAAAATAATCTTCACCATTGGAAATATAGGAATTTAAATAGTTCATGCTGATATCCCTCCCTCTACTTGCCTATATGCTTTAGCTTCTCAGAGGTCTCTAACTAGTCCTAGAACATGTATTTCTGTTACAGGTGGAATTTACACACACTATGATTTAGAACTACTTAAAGTTGTGGCTCAACTTTTATTTCGTTATTGCTGATCGTCTTTCACTTGCAGAGTTGCCTCTCCATGTACCATTCAAGAAGATGATGATAAAAATGACTGAGCTTCCCAAGCAGTCTGTACTCTCAGAGGTTGTCATCCAGCAATATAGAATCCCAGCAGTGCTCTCAAATTGCTGCAATTAACCCACTTTTTGTATTAATTGTGTTGCTTATAATACTTGCACAGAACAGATTTCTTAAACCTCAAGCGAATGTTTGATTTTGCCAGTTATTTTCAAAACTAAGTGATGGGGATGTTTGAGTTGAAGAGGCATGAGAGGAGGAGTAAAGGAGCTAGTACTTGAGGATAGATAAAAGAACAGAAATGCTAGTTCTGGTTCCATTTCCCCTACTCATCACCCCCATCTTCCTAAAGGTGGTAGGGCAACAAGTTACTGCACCACCTGAAACATAATGCAGGTGCCTGGGTCAGGACCACCAAGAGCCTTTGGCTGGTTTGTCAGGAAACTCTACCTAGTGCGGTTTCCCCAGACCAGCTTTGGGGGACATGGAAAGTTGGTTTTACAGAAGCCAACTTTCTTTAATATTCTCTATAAATCAATTTTGTCCTGTTAGGGTCTAGACTACTTTAGGGTAATTAATCTGCTGAAAGGGACTTTGGGAAAAATTACAATAAGAATGCCAAAAGAAATTTTTTATTACTCTGGCCCTGGCTGGTGTGGCTCAGTGGACTGAGCACTGGCCTGCAAACCAAAGGGTCGTCGGTTTGATTCCCAGTCAGGGCACATGCCTGGGTTGCGGGCCAGGTCCCCAGCAGGGGATGCATAAGATGCAATCACACATTGATGTTTCTCTTCCTCTCTTTCTCCTTCCCTTCCCCTCTCTAAAAGTAAATAAATAAAATCTTTAAAAAAAAAAGAAATATTTTATTACTTTGAATTGATCTACCCACAGATATAACCAAACTGTTTCACTTTGGGTATTGATTTGCCTGCCTTTTGGATTTATTCAATTTCCTTTAAAAATATTACCTCTCAATATACGAGGAAGGACCCCCCCAAAAACTGGAATTATCTTCTGGAGAATGGGCCCCTTGTAGTACAGGCTCCCCCCGCTAGGTGAGTGTTCTAGAAACCCATCTGTATCAGTGTACCAGCTGGCATTGTTGTGAGAGGCTGCGTTTGGCCTCTGTAAATTTTTTTGAAGACTCTTTCAATACATTTGTTCATTTCATGGTGGGTGGTTTACACACCCCTGCCCACACTGCACTGAGTATTCAAAACTTTTTGACCAAAAACTGCATGACTCTGTGCCCCACCCACTCTATTCACCTGATCTTGCCCTGAGTGACTTTTTTTGTTTCCCTGGATGAAAAATGCAGATATAAAAGAGGTGAAACAAATAAAAAAAAAAAACAGCAGAAGCACTAAAAGGCATCAAAATTAGCAAGTTCAAAAACTGTTTTGAGCAGTGGGAAAAACATCTTGATATGTTATTGCATCAAATGGAGAGTATTTTGAAGGTGACTGAAGTTTAAACATGTAAGAACAAATACACAATTTTTTATAAATAAATTCCATTTTTTGAGGGGTCCTCATAAATATGATACTCTAGGGATACAGGATCTTTGATTCTGAGCTGAAAATTTAAAGCTATGGTTTTAAAAAAAGATTTTCCATCTTATTTCAATCATGTTGTACAACTAAGCACGTCTTCTTGTTTGTTCCTAGGATGGTCCAGATTCCACTGGAGGAAACCGGACAAAGCAGGAGAGTGCATGGCTATTCAGGCTGTGGTACAGCTTTGACCACAAGTATCCTTTTATGTGGTTTCCCTGAAACATTGATGATGAAACTCTCCTGTTGAGTTGCCAGTGAATGACTTCTGATAAGGAAAGACATGTGTTTGCTACAATGTAACCAGTCCTCCCTTGGGTCTCATGCAGTGACCATTCAACCACAGGTAGTCCTGGTGAACATCTCTCTGTCCAAGAGGAATGTCTGTACATCATTAAGTTAGTCAACCCATAGCCTGGTAGACTCATGTGGCTCTTCAGAGGTTTGTGTACAAGAGGAATATGCCTTTGTATGTGAATTGGTGTGGTCAGGAAGGAAAGTGGAGCTTGGAGAATGTGGGGAGGCTAATTTTTAATGACTGAACCAACTCTGGCCAGGTCTGATCCAGGTCTTAACATGCAGGACAGACTCTTATAGTAGACTTGCTTGGTCCCAGATGAGAATTAAAAACCAAAAAGGTAAACTTTCATGGTTTCTTAAGTTAACATAGTGATCAAATGGACATGTAGCTAGCTTACACATGGTCTTTGGAGACTTGGAAAATGTTTCATATTTTTTATTGAAGTATAAGATACATGTAGAAAAGCACACAAATCATGTCAGTAAATTGTCACAAAATAAACACTTATTTAGCCCCAGACAGGTCAAGAAACACAAAATTACCATGTCCCCTCATGCCATTACTCAGATACTACCCCGTTCTCTTCCCTAAATGTAGCCACTCTCCTTACTTCCAGCAACACTTAATAGTTTTACCTGTTTTTTGAATTTTACATATGGGATTATAGAATGTGTGTGCATGTACAATATATATTAGTGTCTGGTTTATTTAACTTGATGTCATTTGTGTGATTGACCCATGCTGTCACATGTACCCCTAGTTCATCTATTTTTATTGGTATATGGTATTTCATTGTATGAGTATATAATAATTTATGTATCTATTGTTGATGAACATGTAGATTGTTTCTGCTTTGGAGCTACTGAAAAATAATGCTATGAACATTCTTGTACATGTCTTTCGGTATATATATATCATATTCGCTGGGCTTAGTATTTTGCAAATTATATATGATAAAGATAACTTCTCTAGTTGTGACTTGAATTTTCACTTTCTTTCTTGCGTTTTCACCTTTTTAATAGTTTTTAATTTATTTTACTGTTGAAATACATTTGTTTCCATTTTCCCGCCACCACTTTCCCCTGCTACAACCACCCCCACCTCCCTCTCTCAATCCTTCCCCACTTTGGCTTTGTCCATGGGTACTTTATACATGTTCCTTGTTTGACCCTTCCCCTTCTTTTCCCCATTAACCCCCCTCCCCCCTCCCCTCTCCTTACTGACAGTTTTTTCTTTCAATGTGGCTGGTTATATTTTCGTTGCTTGTTTGTTTTGTTGATTAGGTTCCACTTACAGGTGAGATCATATGGTATTTGTCTTTCACCTTCTGGCTTATTTCACTTAGCATAATGCTCTCCAGTTCCATCCATGCTGTTTCCAAGAGTAGTAGCTTTTTCTTTATTTCTGCAGCGTGTATTTCATTGTGTAAATGTACTATAGTTTTTGATCCACTAATTTACTGATGGGCACTTAGGTTGCTTCCAGCACTAGGCTACTGTAAATACTGCTGCTATGGACATTTGGGGGCATAGGTTCTTTTGAATTGGCGTTTTGGGATTCTTAGGGTATAATCCCAGCAGTGAAATCACTGGGTCAAAAGGCAGTTCCATTTTCAGCTTTCTGAGGAAATTCCACACTGCTTTCTTTCCACAATGGCTGCACCAGTCTGCATTCCCACCAACAGTGGACTAGGGTTCCCTTTTCTCACAGCCTCGCCAGCATCTGTTGTTTGTAGATCTGTTTATGATGACCATTCTGACCAGTGTGAAGTGGTATCTCATGGTTGTTTTAATTTACATTTCTCTGATGGCTACTGATGCTGAGCATCCTTTCATATGTTTCTGGGCCCTCTGTATCTCTTCCTTGGAGAAGTGTCTGCCCAGGTTCTTTGCCCATTTTTTAATTGGATTGTTTGTCTTCTTGGGGGGGAGTCGTGTGAGTTCTCTGTATATTTTGGAGATCAAACCTCTATCTGATATATCATTGGCAAATATACTTTTCCATACGGTTGGCTCTCTTTTTATTTTGCTGCTGTTTTCTTTAGCCGTGAAGAAGCTTCTTATTTTGATGAGGTCCCACTTGTTTATTCTTTCCTTTATATCTCTTGCTTTATGGGACATATTGGTGAAAATATTGCTGCGTGGGATATCTGAGAGTTTGCTGCCAATGTTCTCCTCTAGGACTTTGATGGTGTTGTGACTTATATTTAAGTCTTTTTATCCATCTTGAGTTTATTTTTGTGTGTGGTGTCAGCTGGTGATCAAATTTCAATTTTTTGCATGTAGCCGTCCAGCTCTCCCAACACCATTTGTTGAAGAGGCTATTATTGCTCCATTTTATGCTTCTGCCCCCTTTGTCAAATATTAGATGCCCATAGAGACCTGGGCTTATTTCTGGGCTTTCTATTCTGTTCCACTGCTCTATGAGTCTGTTCTTGTGCCAGTACCAGATTGTTTTGAGTATAGTGGCTTTGTAATATAGTTTCATGTCAAGTATTGTGATCCCTTCTACTTTGTTTCTCTTCCTCAATATTGCTGCAGCAATTTTGCTCGTTTATGGTTCCATATACATTTTTGAAATGTCTGTTCTATGTCTGTGAAATACGTCATTAGTATTTTAATAGGAATTGCCTTGAATCTATACATTTCTTTGGGTAATATGGACATTTTGATGATGTTACTTCTTCCAATCCATGAACATGGTATGTGCTTCCATTTATTTGTGTCTTCCTTAATTGCTTTCTTCAGTGTTGTGTAGTTTTCTGAATACAGGTGTTTTAACTCCTTGGTTAAGTTTATTCCCAGTTACTTTATTTTTCTTGTTGCTATAACAAATGGTATTTTTTTTTCTGATTTCTGCTTCTGATATTTCATTGTTGATGCACAAAAATGTCTTCAATTTCTAAATATTGACTTCGTATCCTGCTGCTTTGCCAAATTCACTGATTAGGTCGAGTAGTTTTCTGGTTGAGCCTATGGGGTTTTCCCTGTACACTATCATGACATCTGCAAACAATGATAGTTGTACTTCCTCCTTTCCAGTTTGGATTCCTTTTATTTCTTTTTATTGTCTGATCGCTGTGACTAGGGCTTCCAATACTATGTTGAAAAGAAGTGGTGAAAGTGGACAACCTTGTGTTATTCCTGATCTTAGTGGGAAAGCTTTTAGTTTTTGCCCATTGATTATGATGTTGGCTGTAGGTTTTTCATATATGGCCTTTCTTTTTTTTTTTTTTTTCTTTCTGGAATGAAGTGTTTCTGTTGAGAAATCAGTTGATAGCCTTAGAGGAACTCCCTTGTAGGTAAATATGTGTTTCTTTCTTTTTTTTTTTATTAATTTATTTACTTTTTTTTAAATTAATTTATACACAATGGAATACTACGCAGCAGAAAGAAAAAAAGAAGTACTAAACTTTGCGACAGCATGGATGGAACTGGAGAGCATCATGCTAAGCGAAATAAGCCAGGGGGCGAAAGACAAATACCATATGATCTCACCTATAAGCGGAACCTAACCAACAATGCATATATGGCCTTTCTTATGTTGAGGTATGCCCCCTTTATTTGCACTTTAGTGAGTGTTTTTATCATAAATGGATGCTGTACCTTATCAAATGCTTTTTGGGCATCAATTGATATGGTCATGTGATTTTTGTCCTTCCTTTTGTTTATGTGATATATCACGTTTATTAATATACAAATATTGAACCATAGTTGCATCCCTGTATGAATCCCACTTGATAATGGTGGATGATCTTTTTAATGTATTGATGGATGCAATTTGCTAATATTTAATTGAGGATTTCAGCATCTGTGTTCATCAGCAATATTGGCCTGTAGTTTTCTTTCTTTCTTGTGTCTTCATCTGGTTTTGGGATTAGGATGATGCTGGCTTCAGAAAAGGAGTTTGGGAGTATTCCCTCTTCTTGGATTTTTTTTTTTGAATAGTCTGAGAAGGATAGAGTGAGCTCTTCCTTAAATGTTTTGTAAAATTCTCCTTTGAAATCATTCAGCCCAGGATGTCCCGGGTGTTTTTTGATTATGGTTTCAATGTCACCAGCTGTTTTCAGTCTGTTCAGGCTTTCTGCTGCTTCTTCCTTCAGTGTTGGAAGGTTATATTTTTCTACAAATTTGTCCATTTCACTGAGGTTTTCAAATTTCTTGGCATATAATTATTCATAGTAGTTTCTTAGAATTCTTTGTATTTCTGTGGTATCAGTTCATATTTCTCCTCTTTCATTTCTGATATTGTTTATTTGGGTCCTCTCCCTTTTTTTCTTCATGAGTCTGCTTAAAGGCTTGTTGATTTTGTTTGTCTTTTCAAAGAACCAGATCCTGAATTTATTGATCCTTTGAATTGTTCTTTTAGTCTCTTAATTATTCAGTTCTGCTCTGATCTTGATTATTTTCTCCCTTCTACTTGCTCTGGGCTTTGTTTGTTGTTATTTCTCCAGTTCTTGAAGGTGTAGGGTTAGGTCTTTTATTTGAAATGTTTCTATCTTTTTTAGGTAAGCCTGTGTTGCTATCAACCTCCCTCTCAGGACTGCCTTTGCTGTGTCCCATAGGTTTTGGATTGTTGTCTGTTCATTTTCATTTGTTTTGAGAAATTTTTATTTCCTTTTTGGTTTCATTATTGACCCATTTGTTATTTAATAGCATGCTATTCAGTCTCCATAAGTTTGAATGTTTTTAAGTTTTTTCATTGAGATTGGTTTCTAGTTTAAGCTCTTGTGTTCTGAGAAAATGCTAGTTATTATTTCAATTTTCTTGAATTTGTTGAGGTTTTTTCTGTGGCTCTCATGTGGTCTATTTTTGAAAATGTTCCATGTGCATTTGAAAAGAATGCGTATTTTGCTTCTTTGGGATGAAAGGTTCTGTATATATTCAAGTCCATTTC